TGTTCCTTTCACATCGATGTTTCTCTCTCTCTCTCTCTCTCTCTGTTCCTTTCTCTCCCTCCCACTCTACCTGAACAAAAAAAAAATGGAAAAATGTCCTCTGGTGACGATAAAAAACCAAACAAACAAAAAAACATATTTTTGAAGTAATTACTGAGTTATAAAGAAAATTTTAGAAATCACGTACAGTTTTGAACTTTAATATAATATAGGTATGCATTTTTGTAACCACCACCACAATCGGGATACAGACCAGTTGTGTCACTTCAAAAAACCCTCATGCTGTCCTTACATATACTTACCCTCCTCCATCCCCTTCCCCCGGCAGCTACTGATTTGTTTTCCATCACTAGTTTTGTCTTTCCTGGCATGTTATATAAATGGAATCATGCACTAAGTAATCTTTTGAGACTGGCTTCTTTCTCGCAGCCAAGTTGAGTGAAAGATAGTAATCTAAGTTGTAATGTATCAATAGTCACCACTGATTTTTAAAGAACTTAATTTTAAATTTGAAGTATTTCTTAAAAAACAATAAATGAATCTGAATTTTTGCTTATAGAACTGTGTGTTTTTCTTTATTGGTATTAGAGAGAGAGAGGAACATGGATGAGAGAGAACATTGATTGGCCGCCTCCTGCATGCCCCCCACTGGGGATTGGGCCCACAACCTGGGCATGTGTCCCCACCAGGAATCGAACTGGCGACCTATTGATGCATGGGTCGAAGCTCAACCACTGAGCCACACCAGCTGGGCAGAACTGTTAACTCAGTTATTTTTAATGTTTGAAATAAACTATATAGGGAAAAAGTACTTCCCCTGATTGGTAACATCTATGTGTCTGTATATCAAGTTTTTTCCTTAAATTTAAAAAATTTTTTCTTCATTGATTTTAGAGAGAGGGAGAGATAAAAACATCGATGAGAGAGAACATCGACTGGCCTCCTGCATGTCCCCCACTGGGGATCGTGCCCACAACCTGGACATGTGTCCTGACTGGGAATCAAACCAGTGACCTCTTGGTGCATGGATTAATGCTCAGCCACTGAGCCACACTGGCCCGGCTCAACTTGTTTTTTTTCTATGAAAAGGACTGGTCATTGGTAGGGGAGGTTCCTATTTTTAGTAGTTTATGTATAGAGTTGTAGTAGAGTCTTGATTTGAAAAAGGTGGCTGTTTAAACATTAGTTTCTAAAATGTGCTGTAAGAGAGAATAACCAGCTGGTTGCTTGCCCAGGCCTCTCCCTGCTTAGCATTCAAAGTGGCTGCCCCACCAAACCCGGGACCTGCATGCACTCCATAAAGGGAGTTTGAGGATTCTAGTAAGTCAACCATCAGACAAGTATTTCAACTAATCTTGCCATCAGGGTGCTTAGAGTTAAATTTGTTTAAGGTGATCATAACTCAAAACGAGTTTCTAGTTTAGGGTCAACATTTTGAATTCAAGGACCTCTAGTGTTCAGTGGCTTATATTTGACTGGAATCATGTTATTTTTTGTCAGTTGCCCTCTGTAAGTCTTCAGTTGAGTTCAAGAAGCACTCTTGTCAGTATTTTTATATTAGCAATATTTAAAAAAATTGTTATGGTAAGTAGATTTCCAAATCTCTTATAGAAGCTAAATTAAGTTCATACTTACCCAGAATCTTGTTTTGAGTTTTTCAATTCCAGTGGTGATCTCTAAAACTAAGTTATTTAGTTTATTATATTCCCCTTTCCTGCCTTTTCATACCTCTTCATAGAGCATGTCTTTTATCAGATAAGTTTGCTTATTTTCCTGCTGCCTTCATTAGAATGTAAGCTTCATGAAGTAGGGGCTCTTTCTGTCATCTTTACCACTGTATCTTAGAGCCAAGAAAAAACATGTCATAACTTCCGAATAAGTATTTATTGAATTGTATGCAAGAAGGACTCTCTGAGTAGGTTTTATACCCTGCATGCTGTCCAGCCTATTTTATTATGAGTCTAGGGGATGTTGAAACTTTGTTTTTAAAGGAACATTTACATCTATTTTGTTTCAAATTGTGCAGGAGTGAGAATGTAGCATTCAAAGTCCAGTTTTGTTAACCCTCTGAGGAAATCTCCCTTGAGGAAAGGGAATTTGGACGAGGGACCTTAAATCTTCCTTAAAAATGGCCAATTCAGAAGCAGTGGAGAGAGTTGAAAGGAAATAGATTTGGACTGGAGGTACTTGAAAAAATTCCTCTTCTCATTACCTGCCAGGACACAGCGTCACAGTTTGTAAAGGCCAGGGAGATGGGGGTATAATAGATTGGTTGGGGAAAAGAGAATTGAGTCCCTGAGATTTAGTACTTAGTATATAAAGTGAAGTGAGAGGGTGCTAATGAATTACTTAAAATCTGTATGAACTGAGTATAAACCAATAAACAGGCTCTAAATTAGTGGTTCTCAGAGTTTGATAAGCCTAACAATCTGGGAGAGTTGTAAAAAACAGATTTGTAACTGCGACCTCAGGCTCTGATTGCAGAGCACAGGGTCAGTAATCATGGACACCCAGCTGTTTGCTGAAGCAGTTGGTCTGAGGTCCATGCTTTGGAAAAACTGCCCTAAGTGGCAGAAAGACAGGACAGTAATTAAAAATAGAATATGATTATTTTGTCAAAACATAATACTAGAAACAATATATTGATTTTATATATGGAAATATTTCTGCCTCTGGCTGCTAGTTACCTAAGAAGGCACCCCAGAATGCCTGATGGCAGCTGCTTGGCATGTACAAAATGTGTAATTTAAAAAGCCTTTTAGCCCTGGCCGGTTTGGCTCAGCGGTTAGAGCGTCGGCCTGCGGTCCCGAGAGACCCGGGTTTGGTTCCCGCTAAGGGCATGTACCTCGGTTGCAGTTTGTCCCCGGCCCTGGTCGGTTGTGCGGGTGGCAGCCACTCGATGTGTCCCTTTCACATCGATGTTTCTCTCTCTCTCTCTGTTCCTCTCTCTCCCTCCCACACTACCTGAACAAAAAGTGGAAAAATGTCCTCGGGTGAGGATAAAAAAAAAAAAAAAAAAAGCCTTTTAAACAGTAGAAATATTGCTTTATATGTAATTGAACCACTACATCCATTCCAGTGTAGGAGTCACTAACATCTTTAAGTCTCAGTTATGTTTCTGAACCATGGATTAGAGGGGTGAGGGAGGGGGTGGTTTGGGGTTTGAGTCAGCCTTCATTCGAGTGATTTGCCCAAGGTGATACAGCTCGCTAATTCATGGTGGGAGCAAGAATTTAAACCCAGGTTGGTCTTAATCACTGTACTCTGATGAGTGCTAGACATTTGATACATGTTTTCAGAGCCACTGGTGGAGACCTTACTTAAACTCTAGGCTCTCCTCCTATTTTTGTGCGATTTCTTGGTCATTTTGTTCTTTAAAAAGTTGTGATGTTGAAAACAAAGTTGTTTCTTTTGTTATACCTAAAAATTTAACAACTACCATAACTTGAATTGAAGCTATTATAAATTTAAGTAGTTGAAAAAGATGTAATTTCTGATGTATCCTAAGCATCGATATTTAAAAATAAAGCTATTATGCCTGGCCTGTGTGGTTGGAGTATGGTCTTGTACACCAAAAGGTGGTGGATTCAATTCCCAGTCACGGCATACACCTCGGTTTGGGGTTTGATCCCTTGTCAGGGACCATATGGGGGGGCAACCGATCAAGTGATGTTTCTGTCTCTCAAAATAATAATAAAAAGCTATTATATCTAATGCATCTACTGGAATGTAATGCCATGGATTGATGTCCACCATGATCCTGTTACACATAAGTAAACGATTAAATTGAACACTCCTTTTTCTCCTCGAAAAACCTGTATTTGTTAAATTTCCACCATAAAACATTATACTAATACATTTTTATGCTTGAAGGCCTTATTATTTCTTTGCAACATGTTTGTATATAAGTTGAAATGTTAAATTTTAATTTGCTGTTACCACAAGGCACCAAATGTTCATGGGGTTTTTTTTGTGTGTTAAAATTGTTATAATTAATACAAAGATGACCCATACAGCAAATTGTTCACATTGATAAATTGGAGTAAAATTTTATTGGAAATGTCCCTTTTATTAGGTGAGGATAACATGGTCTCAGTTCAAGGAGGCTTCGTTGACCAGTATTTCAAATTGTCCTGTTTAGCTTCCCAAAGGTTTTAACATATAGTTTAAATATACTTAAAGGTTTCAAAATACAGTGGACACCAAACTCAGATTCATGCTGGGTGAGAGATGCCTTGTGTGCAGTGTGAGAAGGGAAGATGGGAAGGAGAACAGGCTTGATGCAACACTGATTGCAGGTGTGTGCACGGCACCGCAGTTTTATGGGGTGCTTATTGGGAACTTGATCTAGAAAGCACTTTTTGAACTATCCATGCCTACATGCTCCTTGGAAATTCTTTGCTGTCTTTGGGGTATAAATGCCTCAGAAGACTGCTACTTGATAAGAATTTGCCATGGGTTGCAAAAGACACCAGGATGTCCACCTTCCCACTGTCACAGCAAATTAAAAGTCATCGATAGGTGTACAGATAAATGTGTATTCTCGGTGGAATTCTATATAGCAGTTGAACAGCTTGCAAAATGACAGTGTCCCATTTTTGAATAGAATAATCCTCTTCATCAATATGTATATAGAACGTATGAAAAAAAACAAACATTTAAGTTCACTGTGGTGTGATGGCTGGGGCATTTATGCATAAAAATAAGGCAAATGCAGGTAAGGACTTGGCTTCTTTTTTGTAATCCTCACTGGAGATATTTTTACATCTGTCCTCAGAGTGGGCAGGAGGGAGAGAAACATTGATGTGAGAGAGACAGTGACTGGTTGCCACCTGAACGACTCCAACCGGGGCCAGGGACAAACTGCAACTTGAGGCACGTGCCCTTGGTTGGAATCAAACCCAGGTTTTTGGTCCATGGGCCATCGCTCTAACTGCTAAGGCAAATGGGCCAGGGCAGGACTTGGCTTTTAAAAAAAAAAGTTACCTATCACCCAGCCGGTGTGGTTCAGTGCTTGACCGTTGACCCATGCACCAAGAGGGTGCCAGTTCAATTCCCGGTCAGGGCACATGCCCAGGTTGTGTGTGGGCCAAATCCCCTGCGAGGTGGTGACTGCAGGAGGTAGCCTGTCGATGTTCTCTCCATGTTTCTCCTCCCTCTCTCTAAAATCAATAAAAATAAAATTTTTAATGTTAATTATCAATTCAAGATGGTAAGTATATAAATTTAAATTCTTTCTACTTGGGTGTTTTTAATTTACCTAAAGTATGTGTGAAACAAATGTTTCCGTGGGAAGAATATTTTCACTAACTTGGTAGTGAAGGGATGGAAATTAATAAAAGGCAAAGTGCCAGTGAACATTCATACTTCAGTTATGCCATCTAAAACAGGTTTATAAAAGTATATCTATCATCAAATGCCTGTCTTAGTATTTATTGTAACATTCCTGAGTTTCTGCATAGCTCTCCTACTCAGAACTACGATTGGGATTCCCTGGGGACAGGTCAAGAGCAGTGTCCAAAGTCTAGGCTTTAGGTTTTAGTAAGTATCCTTGCCTAGACTTCCTAGATGCTAAGCTTATCCAAAGTTCTTTTTTTTTATCCTCACTCAAGGACATTTTTGCATTTATCTTCAGGTAGAGCGGGAGGGAGAGGGGGAAGAGAGAGAGAAACATCCATGGAGAGACAGATCGAATGGTCACCACCCACACGACCCCAACTGTGGCCGGGGTCAAACCTGAAACCCAGATACGTGCCCTTAACAGGAACCGAACTCAGGACTCTGCACTGCAGGCCAACGCTATGACTGCTGAGCCAAACTGGCCAGGGCTATCCAAAGTTCTTTAAAATACTCAAGTCAACATTTTCCTTTTTAATTGTCACTGTTAACAAACCCAAACACTATATTCTTCATAATTTTTATTTAAGTAGCAATACATTTAGGAGCTGAAAAAGAACATAACTTCTTGACTTAAAAAAATTAAATACCTACTAAATAAGAATTCCCCCAACCGTGAATATTTACTTCTTGATTGTAGAACCTGAATATGTCTTGCAGTAACACTTTTCCTTTGGTCATCACTTGATTAGAAAAAATACTCGTCCCAGCTCAAACATTACCTTAGGGTGACAGAAAGTGAGAATTATTAATTTCATGGCAAATTACTGGTACAAACTAAAATGACTCTTCCAAGGCTGTGATTAGTGAAGAATTCTGAAGTAAGTAAATATTTGTCTTTCCCATGTGGCAAGCTGCAAATCTGAGACACGGGCATTTGCTGTTGGTCTGCATATTACAAAATTACAGCCAGAACCTTTCAATGTCATCTTTAAAAATGTGGAACTTTTGGGAAAAAATAAAAAAATCCCTGCATTTACAAAATATTACCATAGCCACTTGAAACTTAACCTCACTTCCAAATAGACTTAGTGACTGGAACAGAGTCATGCTCTTTCTCGCTAGCATTTTCCATGTCAACGTATCTTTATTTTCATGAGGACGTCATTTACCTCGATGGTGATGAGGATGACGATCATCCACTCCAGGCGGAGCGCCCTCTTCTCGGTCAGGTGATTCCGCATTAGATCTGTCAGCTCCATGCAGTGTTGAAGTTTTTCATTCATGACCTGCATTAGAAAAAGAGTAAACAAAAAATAGAAAAGAAAAAGTATCTTGTACTTAAACAAATTTAAGCAAATAACATGATCGCATGCTTCAGAATTCTAAAGGTTTGAAATAGATATACAATGGCCCTGGCTGGTTTGGCTCAGCGGTTAGAGCGTCGGCCTGCAGTCCCGAGACCCGGGTTCGGTTCCCGCTAAGGGCACGTACCTCAGTTGCAGTTTGTCCCCGGCCCTGGTTGGGTTGTGCAGGTGGCAACTACTCGATGTGTCCCTTTCATGTCAATGTCTCTCTCTCGCTCTCTCTCTCTCTCGGGTTGTGCAGGTGGCAACTACTCGATGTATCCCTTTCATGTCAATGTCTCTCTCTCTCTCTCTCTCTCTCTCTCTCCCCCTCTCCCCCTCCCACTCTATCTGAACAAAATATAAAAAGGATTAAAAAAAAAAAAAAGAAATAGGTATACAATGAAAAATCGTCCTTTCAAATTCTTGCTGCTCAGTCCTCTCCCCACAGGCAACCTGCCAGTGTTCCCTCTGTGAATCCATCTAGAGACATTTTGTATGCACAGATTGAACTGCAAGAAGTACTTTGTATAATGAAGCTCCTACATTGGTAAGATTTTGATGGAAGATCTAAATATAAAGTTTCTGAGTCCTAGTTTTTGATGGCAGCCCTTAGATTTTTAATAGTTAAGAAAGACAAACTTGAAACATGACTCTTTCAGCATGGCCTTAAGATGACAAACACAATGATTACCTACCTTATACTAAAACTTCAAGTCACTGTCAAAACCCCCAAACACTAACATGACCTGCTGCACACTTACCACTAGAGGGCACTGCTTTTAGTGTTGAACTGCAGAGGTTCTGCCTGCTGATGGCCCCCTCGGGTTGGACGAGGGGGTTCATAAAACACAGAATCTTTGCATTTAGTGCTTGAACTGGAAAGTTATACCTTCTAAATCTCTCTGTAGCTCACCTTCTTTTGGCAACTCTACAGCCTGGAAACATTTTAAAAAATAGTTTGATACCCCTTGATTACTTACGGGGTATGCTGAGGATGTAGGTTGGTTGGTGAGAATTTGACGCAAGTTACAGATGAATGTTTGGGGTTTGACTGAAATGTGTTAGTGTACCAAGCCTTACCAATGAGACAGGACACGTGGAACTACACTGGTAGTATGTTTGCTCATGTTTCCAGACTTTATGGTCACCCTGTAGTTTCTCATATATCAATGTTTAGAACAATGCCTTTCTTCCTCTTCCTCGCTCCACTGGCTCCTAACTGAACATCTAACAACTTTTCTTTCTAAACCTCAATTGACTCAAGCATTTGACAACACTCTGGAATGGACGCTTCCTTTAGCTTCCCCCCCAAGAACTAAGTTCTACCTCTGACCACCAGTCCTTTTCTGTGTCTTCTCTGCCTCATCTTGCCTTTGGATGACATTTCCCGAAGTCTTGACCTTGTCCTTGCCCTCCAGCTCTTACGTGATCTTACCTACCTTGGTTTGTGTAGATGCTTCCTAAACTTGAGTCATTTCCATCCTAACATCGCTATTACTGTAATATATGTGTGCTAACTGTACTATTAAATTCCAGACTATACTTAGAAATGTTTATTTTTAAAAGAAACTACCACTGCCACAGATGGAAAACCAGTGTTTCACGAAGCAGTGCTTGCCCACACAAAGCAGACCTGACACCTGTGAAGGGGAGCGGAGTACAAGACAGAGGACCATTCCAGACCCGCGGAAACCAGAAGCCTGCTCCTCGCCAAACTGCGTGTGCGTCCATGTTAGTTCAGGGCCCATGTGTCACCTAAGTTAACCTAATGACAAGTGTATGTATTGCACATTTTGGGGAAGACTGATTTAAACTATTTTTTCTTAAATGTATTTATCTTTTTTATTGAATTTATTGGGGTGATATTAGTTAAAACTATTTTCTGGTAAGTCTCAAATATAAATGTTTAATCCTGATTTCTCTGAATTTCTAACTGCCTATAAATATCTTTTGGGTTTCCTGCCAGCACCTCAAATTTTAGCATTTCTCAAACTAAAATGAACATTCTCTTCAAGTCCATCCCTCCTGGGTTCCCTATCTCAAATCAGGTCACACTATCTTCTCAGTTACCCAGGTTAATCTTTAATCTTTAATCCCCACTCCCTACAGTTGTCCTGGGCTCTAGGAGGCTCCAATCTGTCCTCTGCTTATCATGTCTTAATACGACCTGGCAGACCTTCATCAACTATTCATTACCTCCTCAAAACGGTCTGCTCTTTTGGGGAAGAGGGGGTTTCCCTTTTCTTTTGGTGGCATCAGCGTTCTCATCCTAAACAGGCTGGATCATGTCACTCCCCTGCTCAAGTCTGTACCGTTGCCCTCCCCTAACAGACAGTTCTGGACCATGTAGTCCAATCACACTGGAGACAGTAGCATCCCTTCCGACCTCAAAGGTGCAGTCTGTGAAATCTCTCCACCTGCTGCTCCTGCCCCCCCGTGTCCCCAGGGCACTTCATTCTGCCTCTATCATGTCTGCCCGGCACCCTTCCCTCTTGTCCCTGCTTTTAGGGTTACTCTTGCATTGTTTTCAACCATATGATGCTGCTGATTATGGTATCAACAGCCACCTGGCACACTCCCCAACCTCCGCTGAGAAGCCAGAGGGTAGACGGGGTAGGTGCAGACCCAGGCTCAGACACACGTCCCAGTCCTATGAAGTTGCCAGGCAGAGTGAAATGAAAGCCTGGACACTCCCTCTCCCCATGCCCCTTTGTCCCATCTCACAGAGAATGCCTTTGAGAAGGAAAGAACGAGGCCAAACTGGCACAGATGCTGAGGGGAGAGTGCTGATGACATTCCCATTCCCACACCCCCGCCCTCTTCCGCCCTGTACACGGGAAAAATAAGATCATTCAAACCGCCATGTGCAAGAAGAAGGGTCGCCGCAAACACACTGCCGTAGGCCATGCACATCACACCACGCAGCCGAGGGGGGCAGGAGGAAACGGGACATGTCGCAGAGGTGGTGCGTGCGAAGTAGGTTCTGTACAGGCAGGAGCCAGGAAGAGAAGGTGCGGGGGCGAGGGGAGAGCGTTTCGAGCCGAGGGAACGGCAGAGGGAATTATGGCTGGAGAGTGGACTACTTGGAAGGAAGTGCTTGAAAGTGAGGCTAAAAATGGTTAAGTTAGTACCAACTGTGAGAGGTGAGTAGTAGGCAGAATTAGGTCCCCAAAGATACTGCCATCCTAATCCCTGGGACCTGTGAACATGACATGGCAAAGGACAGTTAAGACTACAAAGTGCAGGTGCCAACCAGCTCACCTTCAGGAGATAACCCCAGATCGTCTGGGTGGGCCCAGTGCAACCACAGGGTCCTGAGAATTGGGGACGGCAGCCAGAGGGGTCCAGAGGGACAACGTGAGCTGGACTCATCTCTGCTAGATGGAAGAAGGGGCCACCACAAGGAATGTGGGTGGCTTCTAGCAGCCGGAAAAAGCAAGGAAACAGATGCCACCCAGAGCCTCCAGAAAGAAATTACTAGCACATGCCAACACTGATTTTAGCTCACGACTCCCAGGTCAGACTGCTGACCTACAGAACTGAGGCACACATGGTGGCAAGCTGGTCCGTGATGACTCATCACGGCGGCAACAGGAAACACCATGCTGGAAGGTGGAACTTCATTCTCGGGTGATGGGGAGCCCTTTGATCTGTGAATATCGATATTCACTACACTGTGCTGGGGGCAGAGGAGACGCAACAGTGAGAGAGACAAATGCATCTCTGCCTTCTGGCCAAAGAGTTCAGTGGAGGCTGGGAGAGAGGGAAGGTGTTAGAACAGTCCAGGGAGAGACGAGGGGGAACAGTAGGGGTGTACGTTAACAGTCAGGGGGCTTGAAGTCAGCACAGTATCCCTGTGTCACAAGCCCAGGGTCTGTCATATAGACTTTCAATAAATATTTGTGTAAGTAAATGAATGACACTTAGGAGAAAATAAAAGACCCTCTGACAGACAAGATGTGGAGGTGAAGGAGGAAGAGGAAACCATGAGTTTCGAGTTTCTGGTAGACCGACGAGGTGGGTGGGGCTAGGTGGTCAGTTTTACCACCAGCCACGATGGAGAACAGAAGGTTCGCTGTTGTCCGGGAGCAGACAGTGAGTTTCCTGTTGAGATCTTAATCACTGATTAATTCTACAAATATTTATTGAGCACATACTCTACGTGAGGCCTTCGCCAAGAGCTGGAATACAGCAGGGAAGAAGATAATCGTGGTCCCTCATCTCATGCAGCTTACATTCTCACGGCTCACGGCGAGGGACACACTTAATTCTAAAAAGGATGCTGAGCGAGGACAATGTGGATGATCTGTGAGACTCAAGTAGGCAATGGAGGTGTCTGGAAAGCAAATGAGACTGAGGTTAGAGGTACATACTCGAAAGCTATCAGGAAAAGGCGGAGCAGAAGTCATGAAAATGAATGAGCCTGGTCACGGAGTGGGCAGCTGAGGGCAGAAGAATCAACGGCAGAAGCTTGGAGCAACCCGAGAGCATACAGCAAGGGACCTGACGTTAAGTGGTTTCTGTCCTTATCACATTTCCGTGACTGCTCTGATGCTGCTCAGTGATCTCAGCTCCAAATGAAATGCCCTGACCTCCATCCTGAGCAATTTCGCTGCTTCGCAGCACAGCTCAGGCCCACTCACCCTGTTCTTCTAGAGACTCTCCTCTAGGAGAAAACAGAGCGATGAGGAACCACCCTCTCCTGGCTCTACCACTCCCCTTCTTCGTTCTGTGTGTCTGCTTGTGAGACCGGAAAGCTTGAGGAAGGTCAGGACCAGTCCTTGTTCTTGTGTTATCTGCAGGGCCCAACTGCTGAGCGCAGGGGGGCAGGGTCAATGCTGGGAACTCCTAGGGAATCTTCATGTAATCCAACCAGTCTTAGCTCCCTTTGGGATACTAAAACCACTCTGGAGAAACGCAGTTTGGGAACTGTCAGCTACGCTTCATGACTCCTGGAAGATTTGACCGCAAAGAGATGTCTCAGGGAGAGACAGGGGGATGAAGTGAAGAGCATTTAGCTGTAGTGACTGAATCAAGCCAAGCAGATGACAATGGTAAAGAGAACAGGGCACCCCTGTAGGACTGAGGGAAGTTAGATTTCACCGAAAAAAGGTAGTTTAGGGTTTGGTTGTCACGGTATTCTTTACTCAAGAAGGTGTCCCCAGTTGTAGACTTAATGATAATTCCATTGTGAACAAGCAAGGGTAGAGAGATCAAAAAGGCCACCTCCCAGGTCAAAGGTCAGAACACTTCTTTTGAAATCAACCTTGTCCAGGCCACATGGCAGTGGCAGTTGACTCGTTGACAATTAGGACACGTGAGACAAGCAGTGGTTGGCAGCACCTTTGGTGGCCTGAAGCTGGGAATTACTTAAGTAACGGTGGCGTGAGGGTGACGTGTGTCACAGTGATTACAAAGTAGGCTTCTGACACTGTCTCCACTTTTTCAAAACCTGAAGTCTGTGGTAGGCAGACTTGTAACATGGCACCCAAAGGTCTCTGCCTCCTGGTGAGCACGCTTTGTAATCCCCTCCCCTGGAGTGTGGGCTAATGACTTGTTTCTAACAAACAATACAGCCAACATGATTGGATGTCACTGCTGTGATCAGGTTACAAAAGACTGTGACTCCTTCTTTCTAGTGTGTTTTCTCTCTCTCCCTCTCCCTCCCCTTCCTCATTCAGATGAACAAGCTGCTAAGCTGTGAGATGCTCTATGAATAAGCCTATATGGAAGGAACTGATGGAGGCGTCTGGCCAGGAGCTCGTGAGGAACCGAGGCTTGAGCCCAACAGCCCGAGAGGAACTGAATTTAGCCAACAACCCACTTGAGCGAACCAGGAAGCGAATGCTTCCCAGCAGAACCCTGAGATGACTGTCTCGAGAGAGAGCCAGCGGACCCAGCTATGCTGCACTGGATTCCTGACCCACAAAAACTGAGCTAAGGGCTGTTTTAAGCCACTAAATTTTGGAGCAATTTGTTACACAGCAAAAGCCAACTAGCACCACTACAGGAGACAGCTCGCCTGCACAGCTTTAGTGTGTCACCTTCGACACCCTGCGTCTTCCACAGCCAGGGACATCCAATGCTTCTCCTATCGGCCCAGACAACTGGGTTGTCAAATCTGTGTCTAATTAGACACTGAAGTATCTAAAACTGTGCTGATGAAGTCCATTTACATTTGATTTTTACAGTATCACTGATCATGAACATAGCACTTCAGGCAATGAGGAAAACTGGAGGTAGTAAAATTAGTTGGAGGGAATGAGAAAAGACAATGAATAAATACTAACATGAGCCCTGGCCGGTTTGGCTCAGCGGTTGGAGCGTCGGCCTGCGGTACAGAGAGACCCAGGTTCGGTTCCCGCTAAGGGCACGTACCTCCGTTGCAGTTTGTCCCCGGCCCTGGTTGGTCGTGCGGGTGGCAGCCACTCGATGTGTCCCTTCACATCGATGTTTCTCTCTCTCTCTCTCTTCCTCCCACTCTATCTGAACAAAAAATGTCCTCGGGTGAGGATTAAAAAAAAAATACTAACATGAAAGATGAAACAGAGGTTGGAATGATCTGACAAGGATTTTAAGTGGCCATCATAAAAATGCTTTAAAAAGCAATCATGAGCATGTTTTAAACATGAAAAAAAATCTCAGCAAAGAAACAGAAGACAAAGAATCATGTGGCAATTTTAGAACTGAAAAATACAACAAACAAAATAAGAAACTCAGTGATGGGCACCACATCAAAATGAAAGTAAAAGAGGAAAGAATCAGTAAACTTGAAGATCGGACAATGGAAATTACTTAATGTGAACAAGAGAGAAAAAACAGACTGGGAGAAAGTGAACAGAGCCTCAAAGGTTGTGGGAATATAAGAAAAGATCTGACACTCAGGTCACAGATGACAGCAGATTTCTCATCACAAACCACCGAGCCCAGAAGAAAGTGGCATGACATATTCAGGAACTGTCAACATAGAATCCTTTATTTATTGAAAATATCCTTTAGGAATGAAGGGGAAAACCAGACATTCTCAGATGAAGAAAACTAAGAGAATGTGTTTCCACAGTCTTACCCCAAGAGAATGGTTAGATAACATTTTCTTTTTTTAATTAATTTATTTTTTAATCCTCACCCAAGGACATTTTTGCATTTATCTTCAGATAGAGTGGGAGGGAGAGAGGGAAGAAGAGAGAGAAACATCAACGTGAGAGACACATCGAGTGGTCGCCACCCACATGACCCCAACCGAGGCCAGGGACAAACCACAATTGAGGTACGTGCCCTCAGTGGAAATCGAACCCGGGACTCTGGTCCACGGGCCGGTGCTCTAACCACTGCGCTAAACTGGCCAGGGTTCAATTAAAATATACTTACAAAAAAAAAAAAGAATTATGGCCCTGGCTGGTTTGGCTCAGTGGTTAGAGCGTCGGCCTACGGACCAGAGAGACCCGGGTTCGATTCCCCGCTGAGGGCATGTACCTCAGTTGCGGTTTGTCTCAGCCCCTGTTGGTGTCGTGTGGGTGGCGACCACTCGATGTCTCTCTCTCATGTCGATGTTTCTCTCTCTCTCTTCCCCCCTCTCCCCCTCCCGCTCTGTCCGAAGATAAATGCAAAAAAAAAAAAAGCCCTCGGGTGAGGATAAAAAATATATATATATATATATATATATATATATGATTTTTTTTAGGTAGAGAGGAAGGGAGAGGGGAAGAAAGATAGGAACATCAGTGAGAGAGAAACACTGACTGGCTGCCTCCTGCATGCCCCTACTGGGCATCGAGCCCGCAGCCCGGGCATGTGCCCTGACCGGGAATGGAATCTGGATGACGCTCGGTCCCTGAGCCACACCAGCCAGGCTAAATAACATTCTTGAAACAGAAAACAAACAATAAAAAAGAAATCTTAGAACATCATGAAGTAAAAAAGACCAACAGAAAGAATAAAAAATATGGGCAAATACGATAGAATCCTTTCTCCTCTTGAGTTTTCTAAATTATGTTTGATGGGTGAAGCAAAAATGGTAACACTGATGACGTTCTCAATGTCTGCAGAAGGTTAGTCAAGGAATTTTACTGTAAACGCCAAAGGTTAAATGGTTGTAAAGTGACGTAAAGTTTCTTCACTTGATTTAATCGGATAAAATGCTGAAACCAGTTGACTGTGATAAGTTATGTACGTAAATATCTATGCAAAGAGATATACTCAAAAACAATATAAATAAAATGAAAACAGAAGTCCAAAACTTGTTTGTAAATCACAGGCAGGTAGGGATTAACACATGCAACAGCTTGGAAGGATCTGAAGGACATTATTCTCAATGAAAAAAGCCAATTTAAAATGTCACATACTGTATGATTCTATTTATATAACACTCTCCAAATGACAAAATTACAGAGATGGAGAACAGAGTCCCCACTGCCAGGGATGGGGGTGGTAGGGAGGGAAGGCGGTGTGACAATACAGGGCAGCACAAGGGAGACCTCTGTGGTGGCAGAAATTCTGCATCTCGACAGCATGGTCACATGATCTACACATAGAAGGGGAGGGGGAGGGGAGAGGGAGAGGGAGATAAAATGCCATAAAATTATGCACACACATTGTACCAATGTCCACTTTGTTTCCTACCCTCTTTTCCCATGTGGTTTACCTCCATCATGGCCACCTCCACCCACTTCTATCATTATCTCGATAGGGATGTCTCTCTTCTCAGTTTTGCTTCTACACTGCTAAATGCCTGAGTGACAGTCTCAAATGGATGTCCTCTGGCTACTCTACTTTCAACTGATCTTAAACTGAGCTCCTCACCTCCTCCTGCCCCCACCTCTCTGCTCTGTCATCCTTCTACCCAGCACCCCAGGCAAACATCACTCATCCTTACTCTTCTTCCCTCTCCCCGGCCTTTCACGACCAAGTACTTGACTTGCTTAGAGGATTCTTTCCTGAACACCTTTCCACTCTCGCCATCACCACTGCAGTCCCAGACCCTGTGCACTCCTGCTGGAACTTGATGAGAACTTCCTTGTGGGTCACTAGGTCTCCGAACTCTCACCAAACTTATCTAGTCTGTAGAGCAAATATCAGAATATTCTTTTACATAAAAAGTTGAAAATTATATTCAGAACACACATACGAAGGGAATTGGGAAATCTAGAGAACTAAATAGAAGTCAAATAAGGTATTTCTCCAAAAGCAGTTAAAAACAATTTCCTAATTTAAATTTGTCTTCACAGTTATGCAAATTACAGGAAACAATGCATCTTTCTCCATAAAAGCGCAAAATACATACCTTAACTCTACGAGTAATGCTTAGGAACTGACACGTTTTATCGTAAAGTTCTTCTAGGTTTTCTCTGTCCCAGTAGAAATCAGGAGTGATCAAGAAGTCTGAACTCAAGTTTATCCGATGTCTTAAAAAAAGGAAAATCATACCTTTTTTTTCTATCTTGAATTAAAAACAATAATCTCTGTTATATTTTTTATTTACTTGGCACTTTATGACAACTTCTGACCTTTATACTTCTCAGAAACATAAATAAAAATTTTTAAAGAATTTAAAAATTTGCAACCAAAGTAATTCAATCTTTAACATTAGTATTATTTATGAAGTAGTTTGTTAACGAAATGAGATGTTTGTTTCTAAGCTTTTCTTTTTTCATTAAAAATTTTTAAAATATACCCAAACATATTTTTTTTTTCTGGAGAGGAATTAACAAGGTCAAAAAGAAAAAAGGAAAAGGTAGGAATGACCACTCTTATTCCTATTCTTATTCCCATCTTCCCTTTCTCCTCCCCCACAGGTAACCAATGTTAACACATTTTGACCGCACGAGTTAACTCGTGTTTTCCTGCCGAAACGTTGCAGACCACACACGAGTTACCTCGGGTTTGCACTTGCATTAGCTATTTCAGTTTCTGAAACTCGGGGTAATATAGGATTACTGTATTTGGGACTCTTCGCCCTGAGGGTCGAAGCACACTGTTCTATATTCTTGAAGTAGCTAGGGAGTGGATATCTGCTGGTTCAAATGAGTGCAGCTCAGAACCTAATGTGCAGTTTACCCAAAAACGTGCGGTCCCTGGTGTGTCTTAGAGATTTCTATGCGGTACGCAATGTGTTAATTTCCCTGTATCCTTCTAGTGTTTGCGTAAACACACACACACACCAAGACACACAGAGTCTCTCTCTTTTGTTAATTTTCACCTAAGAATCTTTTTCTATTGATTTTTTTTTTTTTTTTTTAGAGAGAGTGGAAGGAAGAGAGAGAGAGAAAGAGAGAGAGAGAGAAACAGATGTGAGAGAGACACATTGATTGGTGGCCTCCTGCAGGGCTGGCCCTGGTTGGGGCCAGGGAAACCTGCAACCCAGGCCCGTGCCCTAGACTGGCATGGAACCGTGACCCTTCTTTGGTTTTGCTGAGCCAAACTGTCCAGGGCTCTTTTTTTTTAAAATATGTTTTTATTGATTTTTTAGAGAGAGAGGAAGGGAGAGAGAAATAGAAACATTGATGTGAGAGAGAAACATTGATCAGCTGCCTCCTGCACGCCCCCTACTGGGGATCGAGCCCATAACCCACACATGTGCCCTGACCAGGAATGGAACTGGCCAGGCAACACTCTCTCTTTCTTAATTTCTGTTTTTACATAAGAGGTCTAAGCTTACTTTTAAATGAAACTTAAGTTGCAGAAGTAACATATAAATAGCTGTTCATTATAAAAAAGGAAAAACCTAGAGAAGAATTCAGAAAACAGTGGCAGGGCCTCTTACCCCAACATACAACTCAAATCCTTCAGGCCCTGCAAACATGTGGCTGTAACCTTCCAGATCTTCTTCTGTGCATACATGCATGTGTGGGTGTACATTCATGTATAGTATATGCACACATCAAGATAAATATGAGTATTTGTTTTTGTTGGTCTACACAAAGGCGATCATACCATGTATAATCTGTGACTTATTTTCACCTCAGATAACTTGCCATGTTTTCATCCACAGACTTACTACATTTCTTTTAATAACACATAAGCAAGAAAACTTAGGATAAGAAACTATTCACACACCTAAGCATATTTAGTCCTAACTTCTGGGTTTTGATATGGTAATTGGCTATATCAAATTTTGCGTGCATCACCAAGAGAAGAGGAGAGACTCTCTCTCTACCCCACTTCTTAGAGACCTCAAGACTTCTGATCTGTCTTGTTGGTACCGAGTCAGGGTCCCTGAGCTGTGAGAAATGCACAGATGATGACAAGTGGGACCACTGCCCTCCAGGTCAATGTGGAAAACAACTCTCGGGTCAACTACGTACAATGAACTCTAGTAACTCATCCCACACATGGGAGGGGACAAAACACTGAACAAGGCGACTCAGTGAAAATAACGATTCAGCATTTCCCTTCCATAAATCCTGAGGAAATCATGAGAATAATAAACTGAAACCTTTTCACACACTTACTTAAAATGATGCATTACTATGTTTCATCATTTTTAAGACACAGTTCTCCCCATTTTAACATCTCTGAAAATGGGAGGCATCTTTAAAACTGATGTTCTCATATAGGTGGCAGTTTTTAATAGTCAAAGCCTGAACACAATTTATTTCCCTTAAGATTTCCTTTTTATGTATGCCCAAGAGAGAATGTGATAGACTCTACATCCAAACAAAACCAAAAGAGTTATTTCAGCAAGTGCAAAATGCAAATTCTGTGATCCAAAAGCACTCCACGCTAGTTGTAGGTGGCTGCACATCCCTCTCCTGTGGCATCTTCTGGCGTCTCCATCAATGAAATGTGGTACATAACTTTTCTATAGCAATTAGGTCTGTCTAGCATTACGATGCAGTGATATATTTTCACTGAGAATTCTCATTATCCAAATGCTAGAATGTATCTTCCTACCGTCAAAGAACATCAACCATGCTCTCTCATGTAGGTTAAGGTAGATCAACTCTGATCTCTTTTGCACATGCAGAATTTCTTCCAGTTCAGTCCTAATATAGCCCAACTGCTTCTCATGGGTAAGAGTTCTCCAAGCGTATAAAGATTGAAATGAAAACAGAAGCAAATCCCATAAAGGTGCAAATGTTGGCCCTTTACTATAGAACTACGAGAATGTCTTCTTGAGATGATTTAATCTATAAAATACTTTGTTTACTGGGAACATTTTACCTTAGAGCAAAGAGTTCACCCATTTTCTGCATAACTTCTTCGTGAGAAAGTTTCACTTTCCTCCCAGCTTTTAAAGCCTATTTTGGAGGAAAAAAGAAAACATACATGTACACACATATATCTGCAGTAAGTAACAGGACCACAAAGCAAGTTCTGAAGCAGCATGATTTTAATCCAAGGTAAATGACATCCCTTAGGTGACTCTCCCAGTCATGTCAGTCTGATAAAATAAATAAATAACCGTATCAGGTAGGAATTTTATATTCCCCTTTTCATTTCCTTTCTCACTAGCATTTTCTATGATGTACGTTCCTAATTTCTTATTAAAAACTCAGGGCCTCTTATCCCAAGTATAATTAGATTATTCTTTCATGGCCAAAACAAAATTAATTACAGTAAACATGATTTAAAAAAAATTTTTTTTTATCTTTACCCAAGGACATTTTTCGATATTTTATTCAGATGGAGTGGGAGGGGGAAGAGAGAGAGAGAAACATCGATGTGAAAGGGACACATCAAGTGATTGCCACCCACATGACCCAACCAGGGCCGGGGACAAACTGCAACCGAGGTACGTGCCCTTGGCGGGAACCGAACCTGGGTCTCTCCGGACTGTAGGCCGATGCTCTAACCGCTGAGCCAAACCAGCCAGGGCAGTAAACACGACTTTTAATATATTTTCAAATTCTGATATAACTTTATATGTATCTTTCATGCTACTATTTTTCTCATTTTTAGGAAAACACCTCTTTTAAATCAAGTGGTCATAATCTCCTTTCTTAGAGAGGAAACACTTTGCTTTTTTTTCTTTAATCCAGTTACATTAAAAATATTTCACCATCTGAGAAAAGTAATTTGAATTTTACATATGAAAAGCAAAAATAAATATGAAATTTCTTATTCATTGTTTTATATGTAACTGGGGTTTTTTTTTTTCTTAAATACAATAGAGCTTTCCTAGTGTTTATTATTATTTTATTATACTCCTAAATATATGGTTATAGTGGGAAATTTCTATTTTCCCAAGCAGAAATCAATCCTTGAAAACAAGCATAAAATTGGTATAATTACCTCTGGAATTGACTGAATAGATTCCACAAATTTATCCAGTGATGCTTCCCAAATAGCCAGTTTCACTGGGGAGAAATTTCACAGTAGATCATTTCTTTATCATCATGTTCATGTTCATACAAAATGCAGAACTGCACAGTACCTGCCCGCCACGTCAACAATACTAAGACACAATGTGCTAAACATTCGAGGCTGAAACTGAAGAACAGTTCGGTGTCATGAAGGACGGCACCAACATGGAGAAAGACTAAAGAGACAAAATAGATTTCCAAACCCTGCTGGCAGACCAAAGCTACATCTGGTAGAAGTCCTGATTTTCTCATGTTAAGCTTGGAAACCAGAGTATGAGCCACACCCTGGACATAGGCTGGCTCTGTAGATGGGGCAGGAACGGACTTCCCCTCCTTCCCACCCCCCCACCCTCTGGGGGCTGTGAGCACAGCTTGGAGGTCCCTGAGCCCCAGGGCAGTACGACAGGTCACAGCAGCACTGCTGGCTAATGGCAAACAAAGTCTTAGTGAACTTCTACAGTTTTATCAGGTGCATGGATCTTTTAGAAAAAACTTAGAGCTGTGGTGACTCACTCTCATTTCTATGAAAAACTCGAATGTATTTTTCTCCACAGGCCTGTGCCAATCACACAGGGCGGGGTTCCTCTGCCTGCATTAGACAACCTGACAGTAATCACCAGAGAGAAGGAGAGGAAACAAAGGCAATAATAACAACATGAAAATAGTTTTGGAGAGGGTGAGCTTTATCAATATAATTAGTAAGGAATGAGTAGCTTTAGCACAGACATGTATTTTGTACTATTTTTTTCCTCTTGGAGAAGAAAGAAGAAAAAGGAATGCTGAAGCCTTGCTGAGTCTTCTCTGAAAACATGCCAAAATCTTTACTAAATAAATACTTGAACTTCACTTGATGAAATGAAAACTATGCAATCCTCCCTCGGATAAGTAGTATAACTTACTTACCTGAAAGGCAAAGAGCATTTGAAAATGCAAATTTCTCCAGAATGGTGTCATCTAAATCCAGCTCGGAATTTAACCTGATCTCCCCTCGGTGAAGCTTCGACTGTCCCCTGTGAAAAAGGAAACAAAATGTATTTTCTGAATCTTAAAAAGCACTTTCACTTCCTCTTTTGAAAAAGTAGCCTTAGAACCCTTCTCCAGGTCATTTTGGTAATTTGTATCAAGAAAGTTCTCATATCCTTTGATCCAAGTAATTCCACTTCTTGAAATTTATTCCAAGAAAATAAAAGTTGCAAAGAAAGATTTGTGTACAAAAAACTTCTTGGTCCAATGTTTAATAGTAAAAAATTAAGAAAGAAACTACATGTTCAACAGGAGAACGGTTCATTTCTAGTAGCCCACACAACAAACATTTTAAGCATATTTTAGAAGGATATTTAATGGAAAGGAAAAATAATCACAGTAAGTTGTTAATTGAAAAAAATGTTGAGCCTGGCTGGTTTGGCTCAGCAGTTAGAGCATCGGCCTGCGGACCAGAGAGACCCGGGTTCAGTTCCCGCTAAGGGCACGTATCTGGGTTGCAGTTTGTCCCCACTCCGGTTGAGGTCGTGTGGGTGGCAACCAGTCGATGTGTCTCTCTCATATCGATGATTCTCTCTCTCTCTCCCTCCCATTCTATCTGAAGATAAATGCAAAAATGTCCTCTGGTGATAATAAAAAAGGAAAAAATGTTGAATATGAAAGTATATACACAGTGTAATCTAAGATCACACCGATGTCGTGCAGATGAGGAAGACGAGAGCTGTGAAAAACTAAGGTGGCCCCGGCTGGGTGGCTCAGCTGGCTGGAGCATCTTCCTGTACACCAACAGGCTGCGGGTTCAATCCCTGGATAGGGCACACATGGAAGGCTTCCAATCGATATTTTTCTCTTTCTCTCTCATATTCTCTAACAAAATAATGAAAAATATATCCTTGGGTGAGGATTAAAAAAACAAAACAAAAAAATAAGGTGTACATTTAGAGAACTCTGGAAGGGACTGGAAAGATGGGCAAATGGAAGGAATTTGTGAATATAAGTATCACAAGCAAATAGGAGACGTATAGGGTGAATCTTCCCCAAAGATGTGAGCAAGAAGAGATGGACACAGGTGGACAGGTAGAATCTGCTCTGAAAACCTCAGGCAGAGGGGACGGGGGGAAAGGACAAGAAAGAGAGCAGAGCTGACAAGATGCTTCATGAAGGAGCTCAGCCAATGCCCCAGAATTGAGGGAGATAGCAGAGACCTGGGATCGCAGGCGGACTCATGTAACAACCACGTTGGTGGTCAGGTGAGATGGTCGTTTTGAATGAAACCAAATCACTGGCTCTGGGGTCCAAAAAGTTAAGGACCTTGCTCCTCCTTAGGCTAACATGGGGTAAGTATGAAGAAGAGATGTATGTATATATGTGTGTGTGTGTCTCTCTGTCCCTCTGGGTGGGTGGGGAAGTCACAGGGACTGTAGCCACAAGGCCAAGTGCTTAATAATTAATACAGTTCTATTAACTCCTCGTTTTGTAGTGTCTCGCAGGTTCACATGTACACTCTTGACTGCAGCCACTATGGGCCCAGGTCCTCACTCACTGGTCAGGTGCCCTTGGGTGACACAGAAAGCTGGTTAACTGCAATGACAGGGTTTCTGTCTGGATTCAGTGAACTGATGAATGAAAAGCACTTAGAACAGTGTGCCTAGCACAGGGCAAGTAGTTAATCTTTACTGGCTATTACTACTACCTCTCATCCCGTCCAGTCTTTCCAAAACTAGTGTCTCTTCCTAATGTTCCTAAAGCTCTGCTTTCATCACTTACTTTTATTTAAAAAATATTTTTTCTTTTCTTTATTGATTTTTAGAGAGAGAGGTAGAAACATCTTCTTTTTTTCCTTTATTGATTTTAGGGAGCGAAGAAGGGAGAGGGAGAGAGAGAGAAACATTGATGAGACAGAAAATTAATTGGCTGTCTCCTGCATGCCCCCCCCCACTGGGGATCAGGCCCACAACCTAGGCATGTGCCCTGACCAGGAATCGAACCAGCGACCTCTTGGTTCATGGGTTGACGCTCAACCACTGAGTCACACAGGCCAGGTATCACTTCCTTTCTTACTCCGAAGACTCTTTTCTTCTTACTCCACGAGACAGGTTACTCCATGAGGAAAAAAAAACCTTTCAGCCTGGTTCCTATTACCTTCTCTTTCTGCCCCGACATCTCTCTTCATTACCTGTCCTTTGCTGAGACAGAAATCAGCTGGCATGCTGCCCACCCATGTATCTTACCTGGGGATGGTATGTCAGGACCCCATTTCTACAAGTGATCCTCTTGGATCACCCCCTCATTACATTTCCTGTTATATAAAATATATATCAATAGGGGAAAAATGGATTTAATTAAGAGAAAACTACTAGAATAATTTGAGAGGCTCATGCTGATGAAGGAATACTATTTTACTGATTTAGGCTGCTTAGGGTTATACTATCTGCTTGTTTTAATTTATGGGTAGCTTGAGAAGATAAAAAAGTAATGTCTACCCACTATTATTATACAGGGGTTGGCAAAAGTAGGTTTATAACTGTGAGAACACAAAACACAGAGTTTATTCTTGTGTTATCAATTACTGCATTGTTTTCCAAATGAACAACTGTAAACCTACATTTGCCCACCCCTGTATTTTTTTTTTTAATCCTTACCTGAGGATATTTTTTCCTTTTATCTTCAGATTGGGGGGGGGGGGGGGGGAGACGGGCATTGACGTGAGACAGACACATCAACTGGCCGCCTCCTGAAGGACCCTGCCCAGGACCAGGGACCAAACTGCAACCGAGATGCGTGCTTTTGACCAGAATTGAAACCATGGTTCTTTGGTCTGCGGGCCGACACTCTAACCACTGAGCCAAACCAGCCAGGGACCAATACCTTTTTTCTTAAAATTAAGTCTCCAAATTCATAGATTGTTTATCTTCTCTTCTGCTTTTACCTCGTTATTCCAATTGCTCTTTTTGTAAATTTGATACAAAGTTGCTTACTCTGTTCTTATGTAGTTAAGCTCTTCATTTTCCCAGTGCACCAATGCAACTTCATAGGGCTGGATTTCGTGTTTTTCTAGAACTTGCATCACATGCTTCATCTAGAAGAAAAGGAACATTGACCTGAAATTATACTAGACTCCTTTTCAGTGCAGAAGTGTGTTATACTAGTTAATGCTTCTAACATTTTCATTACAGTTGATGGTATTTCTTCTGCTGTTTAGTGTTTTTTTTTTTTAATCCTCAACCGAGGACATTTCTCCATTTTTTGTTCAGATAGAGTGGGAGGGAGAGAGAGGAAGAGAGAGAGTAACATCGACATGAAAGGGACACATCGAGTGGCTGCCTCCTGCATGACCCAACCAGGGCCGGGGACAAACTGCAACCGAGGTACGTGCCCTTATCGGGAACCAAACCTGGGTCTCTCTGGACCGCAGGCCGACGCTCTAACTGCTGAGCAAAACTGGCCAGGGCCTGCTGGTTAGTTTTTAAGGAACAGTCAAATTAATTGTGATATTAAACTCATCAGAAAGACATATTCATTTGTTTTTATATTTGGAAAACACAAATGAGCATAAAGAAGAAAATAAAAATTATCACTATCCTACAACCTACAGAAAACCACTAGTAAAATTATGGTTTGTATTTTTTATATTTAACTTTTTATTGATTTTTTTTAGCAGGAGAGAAACATCAATGTGAGAGAGACACATCCATTGATCAGCTACCTCCTACACACCCCATACTGGGGATCGGGCCCACAACCTGGGCATGTGCCCTGACTGGGAATCGAACCGGCGACCTCGTGCTGCATGGGTTGACGCTCAACCAGAGCCACACTGGCCGGGCAGTAACAGACTTTAAAAATTGTAAACAACACAGGTAGAGAAAGTGAGAATCCCATGAGTAACCATTCAATTCGGTGCACAGCCTTCCAGACTGTTCCTACGTGTGTATGTACGTACATTTACTTTGGTTTTTTACAGGAAATGGGGTCACAGCGTGCACAGGAGCATTTTCAAGGCTATCTCCTTAATGCAGGAGTCCCAATTTATTCAACCGTCCTAAATTCCATCTGTGGGGGAAGAGTCCTCCTCTCCACCACTGAAGGCTGCACTGCACATCCTTATGTGTATCATCTTCACGGCCTTGTGGGCATATTTCTTTAGGAATCGCTAGATCAAAGACACGCACACTCTTTCTGCCATCTTTCCGGGCCGCCACAATGGTGCGCATGAACATCCTGGCTGATGCTCTGAGGAGTGTCAACCGTGCCGAAAAGAGAGGCAAACGCCAGGTTCTTCTTAGGCCGAGCTCCAAAGTCATCGTCTGGTTTCTAACTGTGATGATGAAGCGTGGTTACATTGGCGACTTTGAAATTACTGATGACCACAGAGCTGGGAAAATTGTTGTGAACCTCACAGGCCGCCTGAACAAGTGTGGAGTAATCAGCCCCTGATTTGATGTGCAACTCAAAGATCTAGAAAAACGGCAGAACCACCTGCTTCCATCCCGTCAGTCTGGTTTCACTGTACTGACCACCTCAGCGGGCACCATGGACCATGTAGAAGCAAGACGAAAACACACAGGAGGGAAAATCCTGGGATTCTTTTTTAGGGATGTAATACACATGTGCAAATAAAATGCCTCAATGGACAAAAGAAAAAGAAGAGAAAAAAAAAAAGACACGCACACTTACAATTTTGATAAATATTGCTAAACTACTCTCCAAAATAGTTTTTCCAATTTTAGAATGCAAACCTTTATGAGAGCATTCTTTAAAAACAGTGGGTATTATCAGCCTTTTATATCTTTGCCACTTCAAATAGCTAATTTGTATTATCTTTTTCTTTTATTTGCTGGTCATTTTTATTTCCCTTTTCTTCAGGAAATCCCTCTAGCCACCTCCGTGTGTGTGTGTGTGTGTTTGCTCTTAGTAAAACTGGGAATAGAAGGTACATTTTTGTAACCAGCTCTGCTATTATATTGGTTATATTTTTGTACCTTCCTCTATTAACTGTATCATATACGCATTCTCCACCATTTTCTAGGCATATTTTTCCACGTGATTTTTAAGAGCTGTAGTCTATTCTACATTTACTACAGTAGTAAACTCATTAAAGTCATAGTGTTTAATGAACTTCCGATTATGTATTTTGGTTATTTCCAAATTTTGTAAACAATGCATTGATGAACCTTTCTATACATCACCCATCAGGCATTAACTGCAATTTCTTCCTTTGGATAACTTTCTAGATGTAAAATCGCTGAGTTAAATATAAAGCTTTGATGTGTATTATCAAACTGTCTCTAAAAAGGTTGTATTAAACAAATCCTAATAGAGATACTGAAGACATTATTTCCTGTGAGTGATACAGTTCTGGAAAACTAAAAATAAGACTCAGCAGCCAGCTTCCCGTGAACTGTGTGTACGTTATTCATTTTGTATGGACTATACTTCTGTCTGCAGTGTAGCTAGGGTTGTTCTGATTCTCCAAAAATTAATGTATGCTCAGAGACTAAAACATGTAGAAAATTATAAGCTGAAATATATTTTGGAAGATGAAACTGCTAGGACAAATATCACATAATGCAGAGCAAATAAGTTGTAGATTATCTGTTAATTTACCTTCCAATGGCTCAGATTGTTGAGTGCTAATTGACAATTTATTCCCAGAAAACTATATTCTTATACATTTACACTTTATTTATACTCACAGTTTTGTCTTTTACGTTCCAGAACACAGCAGCTCCTTCCCTGATTTAAAAAAATAAAAGAATCAGCTTAGTTAAAGGTACAATACATTCTTCAGGGCCATACAGAAAGCCATGCTTAGGTAACTTCTAGAATGTATCCAGGATGCAATTTAAATATATATGATATATTACTGATAAAACCTGACCTCTCAAAAGTTCACGATTTCCCTCCTGGTTTGCAGAACAAATAATTCTTGTTATAATACTACATATAACTCGATGCATCAAGACCGTCTCACAGCTGTTTCAATTCTGATGTTCAAAAATCAGAATAAGGACATTTTTGAGACTCGTCTTAGCTCTCCTATAGATTCTGCATAGGAAAAGAATAAAAGGTCATGCTTTTGCTAGTTGTGGAATATAGAGACCGAGATAAATTACAGCCTCAGGTGGCCGCAGGCACCTGGGGAGTAAGGCCACCGACCTCACAGTGCTTCGGCCGAACTCCGAGGATGCCAGGAGGCCCTCTGGGTCCGATTCTGGCTTTGATAGGACGTAAGGCCTAAACTGTAAACCAGCTTGTTTTGATTTGTAAAGTTTGATGTGTTGAGCTGTTTAGGTAGTAAATAAAAAAGGGAGTCAGGGCTCTGGGCTACTGCCCCGGAAGAAGGAAAGGTGGGACGGAGAGGAAGGTGGAATATGCTGCCCCATCAGGCTTCAGACACTTCTTAAGCGATGCACGTAGCTTACACAGGGTCTGTGCTTAGCACCTGGGATGTAAAGATGACTACGGTTAGTTCTTATCCTCAAGGACCTCCCGATCTAGCAAAGACTGACACCTGGACCACCGATTACAATAGTGTGTGATCAGTGTTCTAACAGAATGATGCAGCATACACCTGGATGCGAACCGGAGAGACACAGTTCCCGGAGGACCAGCAGAGCCAGCCAAAGAGAGAACGTGAGAAGGCCACTCGGCAGAGGGCACACTGTGCGTTCAGGGAGAAGGTGGGAGGAACAGGGAACCTCTCAGAATGAACAGTTAGTAGTTTGAATGGCTGTGGATGTGGGCAAGTAGTAGGGAATCCAGGTAGAGGCAGGGAGCAGCTAAACCCGCAAGAAACGTTGTGCTCTGACAAGGAGTTTGGTCAAATTCCAAAGGATTTTAAGCAGGAGAGTAGTGATCAGAATGACCTATTGAGACCTGCCTAAGACAGACAGACAAACTGGTAGTGGGCTGAGAAGACAGAGAGACCAGGTAGTAAGCTGTTTCGACAGGCCAGCATATAGTCTCAGGATATGGATCTGGGAGGTACTGGAAGTCACAGACAGAGTATTAATTCAGAGAATGACTTCTGGGCAGATGGGAGGTCCTGGGAACCGTGTGCCCTCTGTCTAGAGCTGGGCTGTGCACTACGGAGCTCAGAGGCCACGTGTAACCTGTCAAACTGAAAAATGATGGTGTGTAAAATACACACCAGGTTTCAAAGACTCAGTATGAAAAAAAGAATGTAAAATTTCATACACCTGGATTAATACAAAATAATACTGGCTGGAAACTGTAACTGGAAAAATATTAAAATTATCCTGTCATAGTCTAAGGAGAAAAATATAATGAAAAATTTAATTAATTACTGACTGATTACATGTTGAAATTATATTAGATATGTTGAGTTAAATAAAATTTATTATTATTTAATGTTTTTATTGTTTTTTTGGAGAGATAGAAACATTGATGTGAGAGAGAAATACCGATCAGCTGCCTCCTGCACGCCCCCTACTGGGGATAGAGCCTGCAACTCAGACATGTGCCCTGACCAGGAATCGAACTGGGACCTCTCAGTCCGTTAAGACAATGCTCAATCCACTGAGCCACACCAGCCAGGCTATATTATTAAATTTAATTTCCAGCATTATATGGTATTATTAGTGTTGTTCAAAATTAAATTTTTTTTTTAACTTAAAAAAAAAATGTGGCCATTAGAAGACATATCATTACAGATGAGACTTGAATTTGTAGCTTGCATTTTATTGCTTTTTGTTTTATTTATTTTTTGTTGTGAATTCTTATGCGAGGATATTTTTCCATTGATTTTTAGATAGAGTGGAAGAGAGGAAGGAAAGGAGGGAAAAAGGGGAAGAGGGGAGAGAGAGAGAGAGACAGACAGACAGACAGACAGACAGACATCAATGTGAGAGAGACACGTCAATTGGTTGCCTCCCGCACATGCTCCCACCAGGGCAGGGATTATGCCTGCAACCGAGGTACGTGCACCCTTGACTGGGAATCAAACCTGTGACCCTTCGGTCCATGGGCTGATGCCCTCTAACCACTGAGCATACCGGCCAGGGCTTGCATTATATTTCTAATGGATGGCACCGACCCAGAGGACCTCAGAATTCAAATTCCTCACCTAAGGCAAAGGGGACACTATTCTACTTGGACTAAATGTTGAACTTTTGATTATCTACAAAGTAATATCAAAAGGATGGTGAGTCGCCCTGGCTGAGTGCCTCAGCTGGTTGAGCATCACCAGTACAGCAAAAGGCTGCAGGTTCGATTCCTGGTGAGGACACATACTTAGGGTTTGGGTTTGATCCAGACTGGGCTGGGCATGTGTGGGAGGTGGTCGATCAATGTCTCTCTGTCTCTCTCTCCCTTCTTCTCTCTCTAAAACCAACAGGAACGTATCCTAAGGTGAAGATTTGAAAAAATGAACAACACAAACAAAGGAAGGTGAGTCATCAACAGGAACAAAGACAGGGCTTCCAGTTAGCGTCAGCCACAAGGATGAGGACCACAAAGACTATCAAAGTTTGGGTGCTTACAATGCTCCATGTTTCTGTTCTGCCACTTGTTAGTCCCCTGACTGTGGGTAATCCACTTAACCCCTCTGATCACGTTTCCTCAGCTGCAACTGGGGAATAACAGACCTTTCTGAAGTGTTGTGAGAATAATATGAAATTATTCTAAGTGTTTTCTATTATCATCACCCTTCCCTCAGCTATTCTGGAGTGTTTGAAAGGAGTAAGTGCATGTGAGTCAGGGTCCCAGTCAGTCTCTGGACAGGTAAAGTGGGCTAACACATCAGCTAAAGAGCTCCAGAGGGAGGAGGAAGAAAAGGAGAGAAGACAGCAGGGCAGGCAGCCTGGGTGTGATCGGTAAAGGGCACCGAAGATGAAGGGGGAATAGGGTGCTTTCCCTGTACTTCGTAAATGCAAATCCAGATTTACAAATACAGACAAGCCCGCAAAAGATTATTTACTGGTTTTAAAAATTATTTTATAAGAGGATTTATCAGAAGATTCCTAAAACTGATAAACCCTCCTAGATATACTAAGAATCAAAGGATAAATTTAAGTCACAAATTGCCCTGGTCGGTTTAGCTCAGCGGTTAGAGCGGTCCGGAGAGACCCGGGTTCGGTTCCCGCTAAGGGCACGTACTTCGGTTGCAGTTTGTCCCTGGCACTGGTTGGTCGTGCGGGTGGCAGCCACTCGATGTGTCCCTTTCACATCGATGTTTCTCTTTCTCTCTCTCTTCCTCTCTCTCCCTCCCACTCTATCTGTACAAAAAATGGAAAAATGTCCTCGGGTGAGGATTTAAAAAAAAAAAAAATTTTAAGTCACAAATTTTGAACACATTTGCTATTGAAAGAGGAGGTACACCTTTATTTATTTATTTATTTATTTATTTATTTATTTTTATCCTCACCCGAGGATATTTTTGCATTTATCTCCAGAAAGAGTGGGAGGAAGAGAGGGAAGATGAGAGACACACATCGAGTGGCCACCACCGACACAACCCCACTGGGGCCAGGGACAAACTGCAACCGTGTACATGCCCTTAGCAGGAACCGAACCCGGGACTCTCCAGTCTATGGGCCGACACTCTAACTGCTGAGCCAAACCAGCCAGGGCTACACCTGTACCTTTTTTTTTTTTTTTTTTTTTTTTTATCCTCACCCGAGGATATTTTTCCATTTTTTGTACAGATAGAGTGGGAGGGAGAGAGAGGAAGGGAGAGAGAGAGAGAAACATCGACGTGAAGGGACACATCGAGTGGCTGCCACCCGCACGACCAACCAGGGCCGGGGACAAACTGCAACCGAAGTACGTGCCCTTAGCGGGAACCGAACCCGGGTCTCTCCAGACCGCAGGCCGACGCTCTAACCGCTGAGCCAAACTGGCCAGGGCTACACCTGTACCTTTAAAGACCATATTACCTGACCATGAGTCCATCTCCAGGGAGGTTTCTTTCTTGTCTTACCTGAAGAAGAATATTGTCCCAGGATCGCCTTCTTTTGCAGAATTTTCCACGCCCATCACCAAAATATTTGCTGCATCTGTGATTTAAAATAAATGACTGAAAAGCTATGTCACAAGGTGACACAAGGTTTAAGAGGCACCTATAAGCTTTTGATCAAGAACTCATGATCATGTCTTCATAGACCATTAAGCACTCTATAACACACTGTCCGTCTTTCTACTGAGGTTTCTGAAAGCATTTAGTATATGAACGTGAAAAAGGCCACACAAAATCACTTTCACGAAACATTCAACAACCTGTGAAACTATTGTTAGTGCAATTTAAAACTGCTCATCCGTACCGATTTTGATTCAGTAATCACTAGTCCAGTTAATAATTATTAAAGTTGTAGTTTCAAAACAACTAAGGCTCTAGAAGTAAACTTCTTTCTATAAAGTTGATTTAAAATAAAACGTAAGGACATTAATATATTCTCATCCTTTAAATACCATTTTACTTATAATTTTATATATTAGTAATATAATTCTCAAACTACTAACCTTCCTGAATTTTAAATGATATTGTATAAATTGTGGGTAACAGAAAATATACAGAAACAAAGCTACTGACCACTTCAGAGTTAATTATGGAACTGCCATAGTCGTCAACTATAACATTTAAATATTTTGACCTTTGCAATATTATTAAATATATATTAATATACAAATACTCATTAACAAGTTGTTATAAGCATATAAACATTCTATAATACACATTATAAATATATATATCAATTAGTAAACATACTAATATTAATATGTAAAAGGTTATATATAGTTTCTTAACCGAAAGTTGGGATCCTCAGAGTCTCAGAATTCCTGGTAGAGGCTGGGGGAAGGGGAATTTGGATAGAGATCAAATCCTAAACTACCTTTCTTTGGGTGTACCCTAACTTCCCTGTCCTACAGAGGGCAAAGTCCACCTAACAGCCAAGAGCAACATGAACAGAAATGGAAGACTCAGCAGCGAGAACCGTCCAAGAAGCCCCCAGTGTGCAGTACCCAGGCCACCCTGCCCGAATGCCAAGGGCAACTTTCCATCTTCAGGGCCCTGGACATAGCTCTGTTTTCCTAAGTCAATTATGTCTGTGTTTGCCATCTATTAGAACTAACAGTCTGTTCAGATAATCAAGGCTGAAAAAGCATAACGACATTTCGACTATTTCTTTTTTTTTTTTTTTTTTAATCCTCACCTGAGGACATTTTTGTATTTATCTTCAGATAGAGCCGGGAGGGAAAGAGAGAAACATCGATGTGAGAGAGATACATTGGCTGCCACCCACACGACCCCAACCAGGGCCTGGGTAAAATCGCAACTGAGGTACATGCCCTTAGCGGGAACCGAACCCGGGACTCTGATGCTCAAACCGCTGAGCAAAACAGGCCAGGCTCGACTATTTCTTATGTGGTCAATGACTCTTAAGAATTTTCTCTGTAGCAGGGAGGGTTTTCAACCTATTTTTGCTACTTTGAGGTAAATTCATGAATTTCCATCAAAGTGTTCCAAGTTACTTATTTTTTTCATTTATCCTCACCCGAGGACATTCTTTTCATTTTTTATTCAGACAGAGCGGGAGGGAGAGAGAGGAAGAGAGAGAAACATCGATGTGAAAGGGACACAACGAGTGGCTGCCACCCGCACGACCAACCAGGGCCGGGGACAAACTGTAACCGAAGTACATGCCCTTAGTGGGAACCGAACCCAGGTCTCTCTGGACCGCAGGCCGACGCTCTAACTTCTGAGCCAAACTGGCCAGGGCCCAAGTTACTTATTTTTTAATGTAAAGCAGGCTATTTTTTCAAGAATCCTACCTGATATCCTCAGCTAAGCTTATTTTAATGTTGTGTTCATCTTTTAACTCATTTTCTTAATTCTACAGTATTGGATTGTACTGGTAAATTTTTCTTTAAAGGCTCTCCCCAACATTTCTATGAATTTCCAGGTTCTTCAGTAATACTAAAACAACGTTTTAATTCAAAAGCAATGAACTGTCATGGCCTTTATCATTCCAAGTACTAGTGATGCTATACAACTTAATAGATCTTACAGAGTTTAATGTGAGAATTAAGTTCCCTGTGAATACACTTTAATTTCTTATCTCTGTATGTCATTTGTATGAAAAGGTTCAACACCACTTTTAAGATGAAATCATAAAAGTGAACAGAAAATGAAACTTAAGCAAATGCATATTTAAGACAGTATCATAGGAAAATTATTTTCTAATGCATTTTAACATACTTGGCCCCAGGTTCAAGAAGATGTACCTCTAGGCAAGCTTGTTACTTCAACATATCCATGAGAGGCCAGGTCTTGAGAGAGGTTTCCAAGGTGATATTCATCTGCAGTTGCAAACGCTGTGCAGTGCATCAGGTCCTGTTTCAGTGAGATTAGTATGACATGGGTCACCAGGAGGCTGAAATGTCTGCAATGGCTGCTGTCACCTTACAGGGCTGCATTTTGCAAAGCTGGCGTTTTTTTCAAACATCTTAAAGCTCATACAAGAGGTATACTACAGATGAGAAAAAGAAGCAACAGGAAGACAGACTGCCGCTGACTGTATGAAAGAACTTGCTCCTGCTAGCCAAAAAGACAGAATGGCTATCCTGAAAAGGAAGCCGCTCCCCAGCTGGTAGTGTTTCAAGCACAGACTGAGCAAAGGATACAGAGGATTAAGGCATCATATGGATGAAATGCTATTTAAAAAGTTTCTCCAACCCTTGAGTTTCCATGACTCTTTTTCACAGCAACATAATTATTTAATGTTATGTAATAGCTTGTCACCAGCTTTGTATAAGCAGAGATTACTTACAATCTACAAAAGTATAATAGAACTTTTACTCTGGTAACATCAAACCAAGTTCTGTAGATCTGAGAACGCATCCAGGTTAGTGCTATGTTTCCTGCATCGAGTCTCGTCTGTGTGTACACGTGAAGATTCATGATCTGTGTCTGAACTGTGCACATGTGGGACGCAACACAACACAGAGCAGTGTTGTCAAACTGTAAGTCACAACTAATTAGTAAGTCCTGATATCAGTTTAGTGGCCCAAACCAGTAAAAGAACAACACTAAATAGAATAAAATAGAAAATACTAGAGTACATTATTCATGGTAAGGATAAATTTTATTTTATGGACTTTTCTGCCACTTAGATATGTCTAAGTATGTATATAGGGTCAGTATGTATGTATAATACAAAACGTGTTTCTCACTTTGGGATGTGGTCAATACAGTTTGAAAGCAATTGGCACAGGTGCTAAGAGTTCAGGCACAGAATCTGATTAATAAAAAAAGTTAGAACAAGAATAATGCCTACTTTACACAGGGGTTGTGAAGCTTAAATAGGCTGATCAATGTCTACTGCCTAGAATAACGACTGACACAAATGGTCAACTTTTCTTCCTTTTTTTTTCTTTATTGATTTTAGAGAGAGAGGAAGGGAGAAGGAGAAAGAAATAGAAACATCAATGAGAGAGAACATCGATTGGCTGCCTCCTGCATGACCCCCACTCCAGAAATGGCCTAACCTGCTTTGATTTTTCCTCAATCTGGCACACAGTTCTAATGTGTGGTTCAAAAAGTTGCAGAGGAATTAACAGAGGACCTGAGGTTACTCACAATCTGAAAAACCTAAAAGAAAAAAATATCTCTACTCATAAGCAAAATGATTTAATTCAAGTAAAGATCATTAAAAGTCACACAAAGCTGAAGTTGCTGTTGAATGTGAGGATGAATGGATGGAGTTAAGTTGTTCCCATGGTCACATATGAAGGTAGAAAAATAAACATATGGATCCATACTGCCAAAGTATAGTTACTGTAGTATAGGAATCAGTTATGTGCTTAAGGCTTAGAACTGCTCGTCCTGTCTGCTCTTTTAAGGCTCCATGGAGTTCAAGAGCTGACAGGATAGGAGATTCATCCGGCTGGCAGAAAGGAATCCTGTTACGAGGCATCGGATCAGGTAAGGAAGGCCACAGTAGGCTGGCCCCACTCCTGAAGACTGGACACATTTACTGAAGCTTGCTAAGCAAACCCACAGGACATCAGACTGCATGTCAGAATGACGTACTTCTGTGACTACTACAGCTGACTTCGCTTGGGCTGGAGTGGGAACAGCAGGAGACAGAAAGAAGCCAGGAGACAGGTCAAGAGCTAGTTCAGTGGGGGGGGTCTTTCCATAACCTCTGAAACGGCAGAGCTCGGCTGTCCTTAGAATCAAATTGTCAACTTGCCGCCCAGAGAATCACCCAACTCAAGAGGCGACTCACACAGTGCTTTGAAGATTTGAATGAACTATCAACAATAAAGTACAATTTCACACAAAATCCAGATTTCCACCATCTTTTGATCAAGTGGGAGATCTGGCAATAAACAGGCTGAGGAGGGGCCTGGTTCTCCAGCCCACACAATCCCTCCCACTCCCTGCTTTCTCACACCTGCTTCCCCACCATTTGTTACTGACCAGGCCCATCTGTGCTGAAAATTTTTACTCTTTTGCACTCTCAAAAATGGGGCAAGGCAAAGCATTTAATCACTATTTCCACGAGAAAATGTATTCTGAGCTCCAAATAGTCAGATTATAAATACATTTTAAAACACAATCTGTTTTTCATTTGGCCATTCCAAGGATCTTCTCTGCAGATTTTCTGAAGATTGTCACATTTCCTTCTCTCCCACGTCCTATTTAGTTTGGCTCAAAGCTCTAGCCCATGTCACATGGCATATATGGCTTGCCACTACTTTGTTTCCTCTGTCAACTTGGATCTGAATCTCTGTTTAAATTGTGGCTTCTTCTATTAATAAATGATTCATAAACTTTTTCTCTTGACTTGGTAGACATATCTTTTTTTTGTTTTATTTCTTTTGTTTTTAATAAATCTATTTGGTAAAAGGAAAGGAAAACCATGGAGTGTCCTGTCTTTGCATCCTCCCCTATTAATTAAAGATGTTCCTTTAGGAGGAGGTTTCATTTTCATAACTGTCTTTTTTTTTACTTTTTACAATGAACCACTATTTACTAGGCACTTTATACATACACATATAGAGCACACATTTCAGGTTTTAAAATGGGGTCAACAACTTGTTCTTAAGTAAGTGAGCCAAACCAACCAAAAATAGTTATTGGATTTAAGGCCTAAATTTAGGCCTTTCTATTTTAAAATATTAAAAACAAAACAACCCAAAGCCAAGAAAACCACACGCTTTTAGTTGTGTTTTTTTTCTGGCCACCTAAGACACACTCCAGCAGATGGGGCTAGAAATCTATACATGATTCTTGTCTCAGTCTTAGAGCATCAGACGCTCTGATGGAACACTTTTCTTAAAAAGAAAAATTTATTTTTTCCACATTTTATTATTAAAGAACATTAGTGCATTACAGCAGTGTTGTTTCTCTATTACTAAGGGAGAAATGCATGCTTTTCCTGTTATGTGCAGACTGTAGGTGAACATCATTAAACACAGATACATTTTATGTAACTGGTATAATGCTTTAGTTTTTAAACTTTTTGACTGTAACCCATGCTGAGAAATCCTTTCATATACACAGCACATATATACATATATGCACACACACCAATAACTGACACAAAGCTTCCCCAAACAATATTTTTTACCTTTATCACTTATAATGCATTCTGACACTTTCTATATACTATTTCATTAAAAAAAAAATTAACAACCCATCCTGGCTGGTGTGGCTCAGCTGGTTGGAGCATCCTCCCTGTACACCGAAAAGGTTTTGTGTTCGATTCTCAACCAGAGCACATACCCAGGTTTCTGGTTTGATCCCTGACCAGGGTGTGTACAGAAGGCAACTGATCAATGTTTTTTCTCTCACATCAATGTTTCTCTCTCCCTTTCTCTCTAAAAATAATAATTAAAAGATGTGGTTTCACTGCTCATTTATTCTACAAAAATAAAAATATTAACAACCCACTAGTTAAATTTATAATACACTGTGGTGTTCGTCTGAAAACCACTCCTGGGCATGGAGTCGTGGTCCTCGTGCTCCGACATTCTACTCCTGAAAGACAGGACATGCCAAGCAGCACTGGCATCGCATGATAGATTATGAGCCAGGGGGATGGGGGCTGAATATCTCAGTAGGTCACAATCTCTGCCAATGAGACCAGGTAGAGCCAATTTGGACAGAGAGGGCGATGCACCTCATTCCATCATCCTGAGTGCATGCTGTGTGGCAGAGAAAGGTGGGTGAACTCAGCAGCACTCGTCAGGAACGAGACAAATCATGCCCGCTTTCTGGTACAAAGGAGACTCCCTCCCTGTCTCAGTCCAGAGGGGCAGAAAGGGCTATGGCTCCACAAATGATCTGCCAGCTCCTTGATGCCCATGTGAAGATGGAGTGGCCTGCATCTGGGGCAGATGAAAGCCAGCGTTCAGCTCCAGGGGCAGAGTACCTGGTCACACCTCAGGCTGGTGTTCGCCCATGAAAAGTAAGATCGGAAAATAATGTCCCAAAATTACGTTATTTCAGATCACTTTAGAAATGCTTTCAGAAATTCCAATCTTTCTATTATTTTTCTGTGCTTTTATTTTATTTTTTTTGTTAATCTTCACCTGAGGGTATTTTTCCATTGATTTTTTTTTTTTTTTGTAATATAGTGTGGAAGGGAGGGAGGGAGAGGGAGGGAGAGGGAGGGAGGGAGGGAGGGAGGGAGGGAGAGAGAGAGAGAGAGAGAGAGAGAGAGAGAAAACACATCGATGTGAGACTGGGCGGGGATCAAACCTTCAAGTCAGGTACGTGCCCTGACTGGGAATTGAACCTGAGACCCGAGTCTGCAGGCTGACGCTCTAACTGCTAAGCCAAACCGGCCAGGGCAAAAGAGACAACATTGTTTCTGTTCTTGCAAAACTCCAACTGAAGTCACATCTATTATGTTCTAAATCTCTCCTACATAAGGACCTGGATATAAGGGACCCTTTAAATTTGGTGATGGAGGAAGCTATTTCTCGTGGACGTTTTATGTTTTACTTTTGTTCTCCATCAGACAGTAAATATATAACCCAGCCGAGGATGTCCTCCTTTCTTTAACCATTGGGCCTCTCAGAACAAAATGTTTAACTAAATGAGCTATACCAGGTACTCAACGACATTTATTTCGCTGCTCGTGTCCGTTGTTCGCTCTATTGTAAATGTAATGCTTTTATTACCTTGTTTGAAACTGTATTAAATTATGAAAATCTATATCAAATCCTTTCCCAAAAGCAGAAAGAAAATCCTAAAGAAAAATAAAAAATGGAATTCAGGAAAACTGCTTCCAATTCTAAGGAGAGTGCAGAGAAATAATGCCCCTTCGACAGTTTATAACCTATGACTACAAAAAAGTGACATCTTCGACCTTGTCAGGATTTTCATAAGAAACTGGATCATGCTTTCTGCTGCTAGATATAACAAAAGAAAAAAGGGAGTTGACCTTCCTCTTTTTGTATCTGCCACGAACTCAGGTTTTTACAGTTAATTTCATCTCCGTCACTCAGACACTGAATTTCCTGGACGATCACAAAGCTAAACGATATAACAGGAAAATCAGGAGCTGGGAAGAAGTGGTGAGAGCAGTAGACAAGCAGCTCTTCTGTCCTTCCTAGGTTCAGAGAGACCATACGAGAATTTACACAAAACTAGTCCAAAATAAACGTCATTCATCGACACCTAACTTCATAACCTGAGGATTAGTAATGATGGTCTATGCATCTTTTCAAAGGAAGCCAACAGCACAGTAAAAAAAACAAACAAAAAAACCCCCACACATAAAATCAAACATGCTTAGGTCTATGCAGAATTGGGACTTTCAGAAGACATTTGAACCTGTTTTCTGACATATTCAACAGGCCTGATCAAGAGAGAGACCCTAATGTGAGAGAGACACACAACTGGGCTGCCTGCTGCGCGACCTGGACTGGGACTGGGACTGAACCTGAAACCGAGGTGCGTGCCCTTGACCGGGAATTGAACCCTCAACTCTTTGGTCTGAAGGTTGACGCTCTAACTGCTGAGCTAAACCAGCAAGGGCTAAAGTGTTTGTTTTTTTTTTTAAATCCTCACCAGAGGATATTTTTCCATTTCTTTTCAGATGGGGGGTGGGGGGTGGGGGTGATGTGAGAGAGACACTGATTGGCTGCCTCCTGCAAGACTACAACCGAGGTACTTGCCCTTGACCAGAATCCAAGACACTCTGACTGCTGAGCCAAACAGGCCAGGGCCAATGGGTGTTTTTTTAACAGGACCATTTCTAGATTGGATTTAATACTAGTCTTATTTTTCAGTTTCCTTAGGCTAATAACTAACTCTTTTGTAAACTATATTTTTACATTTACTTGCCTATATTTCGTCTTTATATGTATCACTAATTCTTAGAATTAAGATTTTGATTCCCTTTGAGTATAAAAAGTTTTACTATTTGGCTTCAAAGATCTTGATGTAGGAATTGCTGAGCTGGCCCTGGCCGGAGTGGCTCAGTTGGTTGAGCGTAGTCCCATGCACTGCGAGGTCCCCGCTTTGATTCCTGGTCTGGGCACATGCTCTGGATTGATGTTTCCTTCTCTCTCTCCCTAAAATCAGTAAAAACACATTTAAATAAAGTGCTGAGCTGGTTGCTAATTCTCTTACGCTGCAGTATGACTGTGTGCAGTCTACACCAGTTTAGAGAGTGAGCGATGATTATGAAACAGAAGTGCCCCCACCACACCTCTGTACCTCGTTCATGGACAGTTCTGGAAGGTTGGTCCTGGATGGCTGCCTGGTCCTCGATGCCTTTAGTGGTCTCTTGATTTGTGGAAAGTCTTGTTTAGGAACAAGCGTTTCTGTTGATGTAGATGAGTAATGGCTCCTGATTATTTTTATAAACCACTTAGGACCTAATCGATTTGGTTTGTGAGTCATCCGGTGAGTACCCAAAGACTTCCTGGTTGGAAGGTGAGCTTGTTCATCTTGGCAATATGCCATGTTGAATGCAGAGAATATGCTTGTGTTTGGGACGTTCTGGTTCATTTCCAGAATCTGGGACTTATTCAAACCACCAGCTGCTGTATCAGGAAAGAACAAATCCATATTTTTACTTCTTGTCAGGGAGCTGCGTGTTGTACTCTCAAATACCTTAAGTGGTTTTCCTGTTGGATGAACAAGTCTTTGGCACTGACATGCTTTTGCTAAAATACAGTGAGATCCGGCCAGGGCATTGACAAATCTGGCTGACATGACCACATCCAAGCTAAAAGAAAAAGAATTCATGGTTGAAGTTTTTTTTTTTTTTTAAATTTAAAGTTTCAAAAAATACATAATATTTTCCTAGGTAACAGGGATATTTCTGTAAAAATATTTGCAACACAGATACATCTTAAGTCTAGCAAAAAAACAACAAAAGAACAAATAAATACGAATACCTTTGCTACTTTTCTTTTAATCAACCTTTGGCCTTTTTTCTGGAAGATTACAAGATTATAAAGCTATTGACATGACAAGGACCTTAGAAAAGAAAAAGAGTGATGAGAACTCTTCATTTACTTCACTAGCATACCTATTAAATAATCTGTACTTATAAATTCCTTTATTCAAAACGTATTCAGCCTTTACAACCAGGTAACAATGAGCTAGGGCCAAGTATGCTTTCTTGAAAGGACAGGGTCCCTGTCTTCCTGGTGCCAAAGGTCTCCTGGGGGAGACGAATTTTCAACTGCTCACTGTAACTCAGTGGAAAATGCCCTAAGCCCTACCAAAGACCTCTATACCAGGTGCTGAGAAACACACAGTGAGCTTGCCCAATTCTACCAGTCAGCTGCTACTTAAAGGGGAAGGTACTTTCCAGTTGGGGGTGGATATGGCAGTGGGGGTATGGGACATCTGACAGACAGAGACACAGACACACCTACACTCCACACAAAGGAACAGTCCATATATGTAAGTAATTTCTCCCCTTATTTATAGTATACAATATCTATTCTTAAAAGTAAGCCTGTAGTAGGCAATTACTAATAATACTTCTTTAAACAAAGTAACATGTTAGGTGCTGGGGATACAGGTTTGAAACCATGATCTCAGAATTCAGTCTAGCAGGGGAAACAGGCAGATCAATGTGATAAGTACTAAAACAGAGGTACATACAATTGCTGCTGGTAAGGGAACATCTGGGGTATGGGGTAGGGAGGACAAACTCAGAAGTGACATTTGAACTGGGTCTCAAAAGGGCTGAGGGATCAGCAAATCAAACAGCCCAGGGACACAGTTTTATTTACCTGACAAACAAGTGCAGCTTCAGGGGAGGCAGGAGTAAGTTGCCTAGAAGTCAGGTTTGAAAAGGAGCCTGCGTGGTCAGATCATAAGTGATCCTAAAGCGTTTCTGTGGGTGGGGAAAGCCAGAGCTTCCAAACGAGAGACTCACAGGGCCAAAGGTATGTTTAAGATCCTATCTTTGGTAACGGCGCGGGAGAGGAACGGAGACTAAGACATCACTCACTGAGAACTTTCTACCCACCAAGTGTTCTGATTCACCTCACAATAATCCTAGAAGGTATTTTACAAGTCAGGAAACTGAGGCTTAAAGGGGCTAACTGTAATTAAAACCTAGGCTTTTCCAGTTCCAAAAACAACACTTGTAACCACAGCACTGTACCACCTCCCTTTAGAAGCTCCGAAGAGGGCAAGGATGAGTCACAGTGACATTTGGGAGGTAGAACCTGCTGCTTTCCAATATCTTGAAAAGGTGGAATTGTGTGTCTGAGTTCTAGTCTAATAAGCTATTTATAGCTCATCTTTTTAAAAATCCTCACCCGGGGATATATATTTTTTTCTATTTATCTTCAGGTAGAGAGAGATAGAGAGAAAGGGAGAGAGAGAAACATCGATGTGAGAGGGACCAGGGCCAGGGACGAACTGCAACTGAGGTATGTGCCCTGGGCTGGAATTGAACCTGGGACTCATTGGTCCTCGGGCCGATGCTCTATTGCTGAGCCAAACCGGCCAGGGCTCACCTTTAATTAGTACTCGTCCCTGCCAGTTCAACCAGTGGATTTTGAAGAATATAACTAAAAAACATTTGTTCTTCTGGGTTCTTCCATTCTCTTCTAGGAAGCTCTAACCCTCCAAACTCTCAAGACTGCCTTCATATGGAGGCTATGTGAAGAACCGGGACAAAGAAGGTAAAAGCTAAGGATGAACAAGAACTGTGTTTTCTCTCTACCTCTGCTGAGAAAGACAGAGTTGTAGCATTTAAGTTGTCCAACACACAAAGATACCCAGGCTTTGTTAAAAACCGCAGCACATCTCAGGCTCATATGCTCTGAGCTATACAGTAGCCACTGCACACAAGGGGATGCTGAGCACCTGAAATGTGGCTCAATAAATAAGAAAAAACCTCCTCGTATGTTGTATTTTATACAGTGTGGGGCAAAAGTAGGTTTACAGCTGTATCATTATTTTAGAGAGAGGAAGGGAGGGAGAGAGAGCGAAACATAGATTTGTTGTTCCACTTACTTATGCATTCATGGATTGCTTCTTGTATGTGCCCTGACCAGAGACTGAACCCGCAAACTTGTATTATTATTTATTAATTATTGTATTATTTCCCATATGAACAACTGTAAACCTACTTTTGCCTTACCCTGTACTTAATACAAAAAGTAAAATAGCTCAATAGTTTTTATATAGTTTGTTGAAATAATATTTTTAGATATATTGGGATACACAAAGTAAATGAAAATTAATTTCATCCACTTAAAATTTTTTTTTTTAATTGATTTTTAGGAGAGGGAGAGAGAGAGAGAAACATCAACGAGAGAACATCGACTGGCTGCCTCCTGCATGCCCTCCACCGGGGATTTGGCCCACATCCTGGGCAGGTGCCCTGATGGGGAAATCGAACCAGCGACCTCTTGGGGCATGGGTCAACACTCAACCACTAAGCCACACGGGCTGGGCCATTTATTTTTACTTTTAAAGCTTCTAGAAAACTTGCTCCCTACGTGGCTTGCATTGCACTTCTGTTGGACAGCGCTGCCCTAGACCCTGTCATTACCAATAACAGCAACACCATGTTCTCAATTTCAAGCATCCTCCAAACACTACCTCCGATCTTTCAAGTTCACGTCCTCTATGACCCATTTCCAGCAATTCTTCAACCCCAGTTGGGCCTACAATTCAACAACCCAACCACCTTTTCACTGTCCCTCACCCCCCACTTCACTTTCTCCACACCCAGTTTATATTTCATGGTCTACCACTATAATCTCTCTCCAACACACCTCAAATCCCTTGCACCCTTCTCTCTGCCACATACCCACAGGACATAACCTCAATCTGAATTAAATATAATTCACCTAATTTGTGCCTAGACTGCTGCAGATGAACACAGCTGGAAACAATCAGACAACCAACCAACAAACCAACTGTGCCATCTGGTCTTACTTTAAAATCAAGACCACTCACTTCAGGCAGGCCTTTTAAGCTGCTCAAAACAATCTTAACTAGGTGTGTCGCTACCATATTCTACTCTCACTCTCTCCTCACACCTTCAAGGCCTCCTCTTCCTTTTGCATGCTCAATAATGACATTGCTTCCTTTTTGGTTGACAAAACAGAACTTCCACAAGCTCTCTGCCATCAACCACCTGCCCACCTGTTGCTTCTGTGCCCATAGACTTTGTCTTCCCTTCTGCTGCTCTATCTAAAGCCAGGTCCTCCATCTGCACACTGGGTCTCATCCCGATTAAGCTCTTCCCCACTCTTTCTTCCATGCCATTTATTTTCTCCTCTTTACTGGCACATTCCTATAAGTATACAACTATGCTTTCCTTTCTCCCATCTTATAAAAACAACTCACCCTGACTCCATCTCCCCTTCCATATAGTATACCTTTTCTCTGAGCTCTCTTCCTTTTAGAGGATTTTTATTTGTTGTCTCCAACTCTTCATCTCTGATTCTTCTCAAACCCACTCCAATCTGGCTTTCATCTCTACCACTTTACCAAAACCCACTTGTCAAGGCCCCCACATTTCTAAGTCCAATGGTCACTTCTCAGTCTTCAGTTTACCTGACTTATCAGCAACATCTGATATTGTTGATCACTCCACCCTCCTGGAAGCACCTTCTTCCCTTGGCTTCTAGGAGCCCACACTGGCCAGTTATCTACCACACTGATTGATTGCACCTTCAGTCTCTTTTGCTAGTTGGGTTTCTCAACCCTTCAAGAATGAAATGAGCCAAGGCTCAGTATTTGGGTCACTTCTCTTCTCTATTCTCAGAACTTGGTGATTTCACCCAATCTCATGATCCTGTATACCATCTTATACATCAATGAATACCAAATATTGATCTCAAAACCACCCTCATTCACATAAAATATGTAACATGCTCAAAACTCAGCTTCTGAAATCTTCCTACACACGCTATCCCTCCCATAATCACCCCCATTCATGAAATAGCAATCACATCCTTATCTTTGCTAAAGCCCAACACCCGGAGTCCACCTTGACTCTTCTCTTCATTCTCCATACCCAATCTGTCAGCAAACCCCACTGGCTTTATTCTGACTAGTTCTTACCACCCTGGTCCAAGTTGCTATCTGTCCCAAAGATTATTGCAATAGTTCCATATCTTATCTTCCCTGCTTCTGTTCTTAAACTCCCGCTGATTCTTCTCAACACAGCAACCAAAGTGATCCTTTAAAAACTTAAGTTAGATCACATCTTTCCTTTGTACAAAATTTGACAATGTGGCCTCAAAGTTCACTTGAAATAAGAGCCAAAGACCTTAAAATAGCTCGTGTGGCCCTGCATTCTCTGGCTCTTTATCACTAACATTTACAGCTCTTTCCCTTGCTCGTTTTGCTCCAGTCACTCTAGCCTCTGGATCTTTGCATTTACTATTCCTTATGCTCTTCTCCTAGGTATCTGTAAGCCTTATTCCCACACCTTCCTCAGGTCTTGCTCAAATGTCTCCTACCCCATGAAGTCTTCCCCGACCATTTCACTTAAAATGCACAATTAGCATCCACTCTCTATCTTCCTCCCCTTTTAATTTCTCCATTGCACTTAACATCATTTGCATATCTTGTATTTTTAGTTTAATTCATACATCAGATGTGAACCGAGGTCCTATCATGTGGTAGACACTGTCCTTTCTGAAAACACAGAAAAATAGACAAAAATCCCTATCTTTTGAACCTTACATCACATTGGGGTGACAGACAGTGAACATGGTGAATCAACACACATATTAAATAGTGACAATGCTAAAAGGAAAAATAGAAGAGGAAGGGATAGATTTGTCTCTCCCCGCTTTAAGCTTCTGAGGACTGAGATATGTCTTTGGTTCATGCTGTGTCTCCTCTGACCACAGTGCAGTGCATACATTAGGTATTCAACTCATATTTTCTGTATGAAATACAAAGCAGCTACTCAGGTCTTGGCTACATTTTCTACCAAGAAGACGGTGTCAGCTGGGCTACTGTTCAATGCCTAAGTGGTGCTAATCTTGGGGAACATACCTTCCAATTCCTTAAACTCAAAGTTATTTTACCGTTGCAGCTACCGCTATGCACTGGCTCAGAAAAGCGTTCCGTGAGTGTTTGTGGACTGAGTGCTTTTTACTCCCAGCTAAGTCGGCCAAGATCACTGTTATGGGCTGGGGACCACGGCGGTCCCGGAGAAACCTGTGACGCGGAGGTTCAGGGCAGGCGGGAGCAAAGGCGGGGACCCTGTGCAAGGCCACACAAACCGCTAGGGCAGTGCACTAACCTCTCTGCTGGAAGAGAAGAGGGCCGCACCAAAGGTGCAAGCTTCCACCGCCTGTCTGCAAAGAAAAGAGAGTTGCGGTGGTGGCAGCTTCGCCACTGGCTCCTGCCCGGGGGCCTATCGTGGCTCCCAGTAATGCGCAGGCGCACAGTACTTTGGACCCGGCGAAGCACGAGCCACTCTGCCCACGTGACTTCCCAAACACGTGACCTGTGCCGCCGCGATCTTTTCCGCTCCCTGGTCCCAGGGACCTCCCGGTCCCTGCCTGCTTCCGCCTTCCGGCCGCTTCCTTATTCCGCTTCTCTCGTCGCCCTCCGCTGTCCCGCCTTCGTCCCCGGAAGATCGGCGCGTCCTCGAGCCGGCCATTGTTCGTCTCTCCCACGGTTACCAAATAAAGTTTGTTCATTCAAAAGCTGTGTTTTTTTTTTTTGTTTTTTTTTTTAACAGTCGTCGCTGCCTTTCTCAGCTCCTCCTCCGCGCGGGCTCCGCCTCTCTTCCTGCGGCGGGTGAGAACTAACCGTTGGCGCTGGAACGCTGAAGTGAAGGTGATGGCGGGGCTTCCGCCGTCTCTGTCGGGACAGGACGTAGGGTTCGTGTCGCTTCCCTCGCCCGGTCCCTCCGCTCTTTTTCCTCCTCCCCATCTTTGCGTAAAGCCGGGCCTCGCCGGGAAGCCGCGGCGGCCGGACGGCGCCCGCTCCCGCCGGCGGCGAGTTCAGTCCTGCCGTCGAGCTCCGCTGCCCGGCGGTTGCTCGGCGTCCGACTCGCGCGGAGGCGGGGCGAGGCGGGCCCGGGACGTGAGTCTCCCGGTGCGGCCGCTCCCGGCTCCAGGCTCGGGCCGGCGCTGCAGCATCTGCCTTGCGGTGATGCGTGGCCTCTCCCCGGACTCGGGACCGGACTTCGAGCCCGGCCGAAATTCTCCGCTTGCCCCGCCGCCCCGCAGTGGTCACTCAGGCGTGTTAGGCTATGTTCACGTGCCGAGCAGTCCACTCTGTTACTGGTTTTTGCTCCTGCAGGTCTGACTACCTTGGGAGTTTATTATGCCTCTCCTGCCCCCCTTCTGGGTATTGTCCATTTTTAATGTTTCAAAAAACGCACTTAGGGGTGGGGGCGGAGGGTTAAAACTGTAAAATTTAGGAATCTCAAATATATCGAGAAATATGTTCCTTCCGTTGCCGATGAGATTCATAATCCCAATTTTTAAAAAAATGCGTTTTGCTGTTTAGGCATCGTAAAGTTGTGGACCACTGTGGGGAAAAAATCGTTTGTATAAATTGAATGGCCAAATTTATATTTGAGTTATGTCATTGCTCCAAAATATTGGTAAACACAAGAACACGTAAAAATGACGTCACCGGGAGTAGATGGAGGCCCAAGAGGTACTAGTGGCCCAAAATTTAAGGGGGCACTCAGGTTGTGCAAATGGAGTGTTTGCTTAATGTTTGAGCCCTGGGCGCCTCTGGCCTCACCTTAGTCCAGACCTGGGTGGGACCTTGCCCTGGAGTACAGGCCTCTGAGGAAATTTAGTAGCTGGAAAAATAGCAATACATACTTCACACTTAAGTACAATCTTCACAGGACTGTCACTTCTTTTTGTATCTGCTGCTTTGGAAAAGTCGTGTCAACTCATTTAATATTCATTCTCTTCCCCCAAGGAAAGTGTTTAAAAATTTTTTAATTGATTTGAGAGGGAGAGAGAGAACCATTGATTTGTTGTTCCACTTATTGACGTATTTACTGGTTGATTCTTGTATGTGACTTGACCAGAGATCAAATTCACAGCCTTGGTGAATTGGAAGGATGGACTGAGTTATGGTGCCAGGGCCTAGTAGTGATTTTTTTTTTTTTTTTTTCCTCACCCGAGGATATTTTTCCATTTTTTGTACAGATAGAGTGGGAGGGAGAGAGAGGAAGGGAGAGAGAGAGAGAAACATCGACGTGAAGGAACACATCGAGTGGCTGCCACCCGCATGACCAACCAGGGCCGGCGACAAACTGCAACCGAAGTACGTGCCCTTAGCGGGAACCGAACCCAGGTCTCTCCAGACTGCAGGCCGACGCTCCAACCGCTGAGCCAAACTGGCCAGGGCTAGTAGTGATTTTTAAAAGTTACATTCTCGCCCTGGCTGGTTTTGCTCAGCGGTTAGAGCATCAGCTCACAGACTGATGAATCACGCGTTTGATTCTGGTCAAGGGCACGTACCTTGGTTGCGGGTCTTCCGGGCCCTGGTTGGGGTTGAGGGGAGGCAACTAGTCCATGAGTCTCTCATGTGTTGTTTTGCTCTCTCTTTCTCTCCCACTCTATCTGAACAAAAATGGAAAAATGTCCTCATGTGAGGATTTAAAAAAATATATTAAAGTTAAATTCTGGTCACAGTAGTTATTATACATATAAAAACCTAATCAATGTTTAGGTTTTTCAAAGTACTACAGAATCAGAGTAGAATCAGTGTTTGGTGATTTTTGTTGTTGCTATTTATAGTTTTATAGCTATCATTTGAGGAAACCTCAGTTACTCGGAGTATAACCTAATGTTTTAAAGATTTCAGTAAGATATTTGAGTTTTTATAGTTATTTTAAAAATTGATTTTGAGAGAGAGAGAAACCTCGATGTGAGAGTGAAACATTGATTGTGGATCTGCTGCTTCCTGTGTATCCCCTACTGGGGATGGAGCCCAACCAATGGAACCTGCAGCTAGGTCTATATTGGAGTTTTTAGAGGTGCGATGATCCCAAGTTAAAGTTAGAATAGGTGATTGGGTAGAGGTATTTATAAAATTATAGTGTCAACTTTTGTTGTTTTTACTTAGTTTCTGATGATCTGAAGATGGAAATAAATTGATCAGCTGTTTTGTGTTCTCTAAAAACTGGACAGAATTTCACCACTTACTAAAAGTCTGCTTTTTCTAAGTCATGTATTTACTTTATTTTTATTTATTTATTTTTCTTTATTGATTTGAGGGAGAGAGGAAGGAAGAGGGAGAGAGAGAAACATTGATGAGAGAGAACATCAATTGGTCACTTCCTGCATGCCCTCCACTGGGGATTTGGCCCACAACCTGGGCATCTGCCCTGACTGGAAATTGAACCAGTGACCTCTTGGTGCATGGGTCAACACTCAGCCACTGAGTCACACCAGCTGGGCTCATGGATTTACTTTAAAAAGCTAATTACATATAAATTGATAATCTGTAACTCTTGGGTTTTGTATGTCTAAAATCAAGACTATCTTTAATTTGTTTAAATGCAAATATACTCAAGTTTTTCATTATTTCTAGCTTTCTTTGACACTTCTAGAAAATCACTGTTTTTGGTTGGGAGTGTGAGCTGGTAACATGCCTTAATTTTGTAGGGGACAGAACAGGGTGGAAGGAGTCATTGTGCAGGTAAAGCTTTTGAAAATAATTAAAATTGGCTGAGAGAGTAAAGAAAGAAGCCAATTCATAAATATCTTTGTTTTTCTAGCACGGTGGCTTCTTCCAAGCTGTTTTACATCCACTGTCTCATTCATCTTAGTAGGTGACGTCCCTTAGTCAGTAATTGACATGGGAGGAGAGCCTGTTTGATGTTTAGGGTAATTCTTTTTCTGTCCTATCACATGGTTAATCTAGTTTCTGATTAAGGAAAATAAAAGGAATAAATTGGGAGGGGTAAGAATGATATAACAGACTCCAAGGGAGAATCTGGGATTAGAGGCACAAAGACTTCTTAGCTTCAGTGACATACCAGAGAAGTTTTCAGGTTTTCCTGTGTCTTAGTATAGTAGTAGTCAGACAGTGCTGGTTTTCCTTATAATGGTTGTATGAAAAGGAATTTTAATTTAGATGAGTTGATCCAGAAACTGAAAGATAACCAGTTTTCTAGTATAAATCTACTAAGTAATACATTACATTTGTGACTCTTTTCTAGATCGTTTGCATATCTTACAATTAAAGACAGACTACCACAGATCTTAACCAAGGCTATTGATACATTGCATCGACATAAAAGTGAATTTTTTGAGAAACATGGAGAGGTATGAAATGTATTTGAACTTTAATTATTTTCTTAAATCTTTAACAAAAACATAGTAAGCAGTTTCCCATCTGTGATAATGATCATTTCACTTGAAGATAATGAAAAGACTCTAGTTATTAGATGAAACGTAAAAAAATAGAATAGATAAAGCAAGATAATGTTGATATGAAAACTGTGTGTGTGCTTTGACTTTCAACTTAAGAATTCTGTATTTAAATGTTTATAATTGTGAAGACATAAAATGTAGTTTGGTAATGTATTTTTCACCTTCTTAAATTTAGGTCCATAAAAATGTGCTACCCTAGAAAAAATTATTCATTTATATATATTTATATATAAAGTATATATTAAAATTTTTTTATGTATAGATTATTCATATGTTTTTTTAACATATATAATGCTTCTTCCATATTTTGCAGAAAGGCATGGAAGCTGAGAAGAAAGCTATTTCTCTTCTTTCTAAATTGCGGAATGAATCACAAACAGATAAGCCAATTATACCCTTTGTTGAGAAGTTTGCTGATACTGATATATGGAATCAGTACCTAGAATATCAACAGAGTCTTTTAAATGATACTGATGAAAAACCAAGGTGGTTCTACTCTCCGTGGTTGTTTGTAGAATGCTACGCGTATCGTAGAATTCATGAAGCAGTTATCCAGAGGTGAGTATATAACCATTAAATAAATGTTTAAATAATTTACGTTCTTTTTGAAATTATAAATTAAGTTTAAAAGTAAAAATCAGCCCGGCCAGTGTGGTTCAGTGGATTGAGCATCATCCCATGGACTGAGAGGTCCCAGTTGGATTCCTAGTCAGGGCACATACCTGTGTTGTAGGCTCAATCCCCAGTAGGGGGTGTGCAGGAGGCAGCTGATTGATGTTTCTTTCTCACACTGATGTTTCTATCCCTTTCTCCCTTCCTCCTGTCTAAAAAAAGAGAGAGAGAAAATCAGCCCTGGCTGGTTTGGCTCAGCGGTTAGACCGTCGGCCCGTGGACCAGAGAGACCCGGGTTTGGTTCCCGCTAAGGGCACCTACCTCGGTTGCAGTTTGTCCTCGGCCCTGGTTGTCTCTCTCACATCAATGTCTGTCTGTCTGTCTGTCTCTCTCTCCCCCTCCCTCTCTCCCTCCCGCTCTATCTAAGGATGAATGCAAAAATGTCCTCGGGTGAGGATAAAAAAGAGAGAGAAGATTAAAACCAGTGGAAACCAGAATTTAGTTCAGGAGACATTAATGGCACTACTGGACATTCTGCAGATGTTACCATTATAATATATTTTAGGCAATTATAATCTTACCTAGAATAGACATAAGATTGAATTTCTGAAGTAGAAACTAAAAATTTTTATAAAGACTTACTCTTTCTAGAGTAAAACAAATGGTACTTATTGAGGAAAAAAATGTTAATTTGAAAATAATTTTTTAAAATTAAATCTATTTTTTTAAAATATGTTTTTATTGATTTTTTAGAGGGAGAGAGATATAGAAACATCTTTGTGAGAGAAAAGCATGAATCACCTGTCTCCTGCACGCCCTCCCGCTGGGGATTGAGCCCGAAACCTGGGCATGTGCCCTGACTGGGAATCGAATCCAGACCTCTCAGTCCATGGGATGATGCTCAATCCACTGAGCCACACCAGCGGGGCTGAAGTAATTATTTTTAAAAATCAAGACAGGACAGAGTAAACATACGTTTTATTTTTAAGTAGATAATATGTCAGTTAATTTGGTGTAAGGAATCAACAGCACAGTGAATCACTGCATTATTTGTACTATCTTAATCTTGAGCTCTGTTTTTTTAATGGCTAGATTAGAAAAAGATTCTGAAACTTAAATGCCCTAAATAACTTTTTGTAAACTTGCCTATACTAATTTATTTTTTCCTAAAAAAATTCTGGTATAGAACTGATTTATAGAGCAGAAGAAAATGTAAAATGGATCATTCTTAGCTCATGGCTTGTAAAAATACAGGTTCGGTGAATGAGAGAAATACTTTGGTATCTGTTCTTAGATGTAACATAGGATAATTTAAAGCAATCAATCAAACCAGCACTAAAAGTAAAATAAAAAAATAATTTTGGGAAGCATGCATAAATTTAGTCTATTCACTAGCTTTTTCTGTCATAACATTTGAAAATTATTATTTTGTTTTTGTTGAATAACTATATTTTAGGACTTCTAAAAGCAGAACATACCATGTATTAAAAATGTAGCCCATTGGCACATAGAAGGCACCCAAACAAAAGACTGTAGCTAATAGTGGGGGCTGTCATACACTGAATACCAGCTACGTGCCAGTTACTTTGTAACTCAGTGTAGTGTAGGTGGTATTATGGTTTCCATCTTAAAGTTGAGGAAACTGAGGCCCAAGGAGGTTAAAACCTTGCCCATAGTTATATGGCTAGTAATTGGTAGAACCAGTATTTGAGCCTGCTCAGTATAAATGAGATGAGCCCTCATCAAACTTATTTTTTCCAAGTAGTACATTTGGATGTCTGTCAGAAACTAAGGTTAGTTGGAAATTCTGGGCGATGGTTTTATAATTTGGAAACATATCTGTATTAGCCAAAGATGTTGAAGGGTTGAAAGACTGGGTAATGGAGTTTGGTTTAGTGGAATGCTGTTTCTGACTTTTATTTTATTTTATTTATCTATATCTATCTCTCTATCTCTCTATCTCTATTTATCTATCTATCTATCTATCTATCTATCTATCTATCTATCTATCTTTTGGTACGTGCCCCTAGCAGGAACCGAACCCAGGACTCTCTGGTCCACAGGCCGATGTTCTAACCGCTGAGCCAAACCGGCCAGAGCTGACTTTGATTTTAGAGGTGGATCAGAGAATAAAAAAATCTAGGACAGAAGTTCACAGACCTGGCTGCATATAACCCAGTTGGGGAGGGTTTTTTTTTTTGGGGGGGTTTTTTTTTTTAACGGACAGAATTTGAAATCACTATATTAAAAGAAATACTGATGATTTAATTGGTCTGTGGTGGGACCTGGCATCAGTTTTATTCTTTCTACACCTCAGAGATTCTGCATAGACTGGGTTGATGTCCACTGGACGAGAACAGCTTGTTCAAAGGGGAGAGACAAAGCTTAGCTCTGAATCTCAGGAATGCGAGTATCAGTCAGCCATGGCTGTAGACCTCTCCAGTGACTCTGTGCAGCTGTCTGAAGGTCTGGGATTTGCGTTGCAGTGTACCAAAACTCCGGTTTTACCCAGTGAGACGAGGAGCTGTCCCACAGAAGAACTAGCACGGAAGTGGTTTGCAGATGTCTGATTTGTTAGGGTTTTTGTAGGAGGAATTCCTGTCCTGACAGCTCCAAAGTGGCCAAATAAGGTTTTTGTAGGCTCTCAGAGCGCACACTAGCTTTAAGACAAGCATATGCTGATTTTCCCCTTTGCACTGAGACATACTTCTCATTTTCTTTGTCAAGATGTATGTTGTGGTTTTTATTACAGTTAAATAGTTGAATAGTCTGCAAGTGTATATTAAGATTCAAAGGTCTAGCCCTGGCTGATTTGGCTCAGTGGTTAGAATGTTGGCCCGAGGACCAAAGAGTTGTGGGTTCGATTCCAGCCAAGGGCATGTACCTCAGTTGTGGTTCTGCCCTGGCCCTGGTCAGGGTTGTGCGGGAGGTAACTAATCGATGTGTCTCTCTCACATTGATGTTTCTCTTTCTCTCCCCCTCCCTTCCACTCTATATGAAGATAAATGAAAAAAATATCCTTGGGTGAGGATTTTAAAAAAAAAGATTCAAAGTTCTAGCCATATGTGAAATTTAAATACATTAAGTAAATGTGCTTCAGCTATTGCAAAATGAGAACATAGCAGACATTTTAAGCTTTTATTAAAGTGTAAGATACATATAGAACAGTGCACATATCTTAAATATTCGACAATCTTTACCAGAAATGCTTGTGTCTCTAGTGTCCAGATCAAGAGATCGACCCTCACTAGGACACTAGGTGCCCCCCTTGGATCTTCTTCTAGTCACTACCATCATCGCCCCTGATCTGTGTTAGTTTTGCCTGTTTTTAAATTTCATTTAAATGAAATTACATGGGATATAGTTTGTGTTTGATTTCTTTCACTCAGCATTATGTTGGTTAGATCCATCCATATTGTTTACATGTAATTGTAAATTATTCGTTTTCATTGCTATGTATTATTGCAATTATATGAGTATATCACACCGTTTAGTTATTCTTTTGTTGATAGGTATTTGAGTAGTTTCTGGTTTAGGGTTATTATGAAGAATGCTGCTATAAACATTCAAACACATGTCTTGGTGAATATAGTGTGTGTATTTCTGCTGGGTATGTACCTAGAAATGAGCCACTGGGTCATAGTGTATGCACACATACAGCTTTAGTAGATTCTAAAATAGCAAACGTTTTAAAATTTGGAAGTATATATAGTTATGTGAGTTATGCTCTTAAATGTAAGAAATAAGGCTGATTCTTAATATGAAGTGTGACTTTAAACTAATGAATGATTTGTTAATAAAACACTAGAACAAAGGTTGGCAAACTTTTTCTGTAAAAGGCCAGATAGTAATCTTTTAGGCGGTGGGGGCCACATAGCCTGTGTTGAAGCTACTCAGCTCTGTCACTGCAGTGCAAAAGCAGCCCTGGACGCCACATAAATGAATGAGCATGGCTCCGTTCCAGTTAAACTTCCTTTGTGGACACTGACATTTTAATTTCGTGTTTCTCAAAATATTCTTTTGATAGTTTCCAAACATTCAAAAATGAAAACCATTCTTAACTTGCAGGTCATACAAAACAGGTGTCAGGCCAGATTGGGTCTGCCAGCTATAGTTTGCTGACCCCAACACTTGAACCTATGTATCCAACTAACTTTTTATCCTTGTAAGTCGCCTTGAGAGACGGATTTCTTTCAGCCATGCTGCCATTGCTAAAAACGCCTTTTCATTCTTTGGAACTTCTTTCAGAGCCAGTTTACAAGCCTCAGAAAGAGTATTAGTCTCATTATTTTTTAGTCACTCATTTTTTTTTTTTTTTATCCTCACCCGAGGACATTTTTCCATTTTTTGTTTAGGTAGAGTAGGAGGGGGAGAGAGGAACAGAGAGAGAGAGAAACATCGACGTGAAGGGACACATCAAGTGGCTGCCACCCGCACGACTGACCAGAGCCGGGGACAAACTGCAACTGAGGTACATGCCCTTAGCGGGAACCGAACCCGGGTCTCTCGGGACCGCAGGCCGACGCTCTAACCGCTGAGCCAAACCGGCCAGGGCTAGTCACTCCTCATTTTTGACCCAAGATGTTTTACTCCATTTGATTTACACACATCATTCTACTGAAAATGCTCTGAGTGACTTTTGGCTGTTTCCAAAAAAAATTGACTCCAAAGGGTGAAGATAACGCGATCACTGACAGGACGTTTAATGATGTGCCACAGGTTCTGAAGAAAATTCCAAAAGAGGAATTCCAAAAGTGCTTTGAGCAATGGCAGCATCCTTGGCATAAGGGTGTACTCCTACCTAAGGTGACTGACTGACGGGAAGGAGGCAGCAATCACTTGGATGTATACATTCTGGTATGTTCTTGTTTTTTAATCAATCCCATTAACTCAGTCATATTGTTTCATCCTAAGGTGGATGACCCATAACTAGAAGTAGCTAATTAGAGGGTCAGATAATCTGAATGTCTTTCATAGTTGATTCTGTAAAGGCTGTTCTGTTAGTATTTGTACCTTCTTAGTTATGTTTTTAATAGGCCAGTGTTAATATTATTTGATCTCATTGGACAGCATGAAGATGTAGCCATGGTACATATATCACCACTGATCACAGTCAACTTGGGAGTAAAAGTTGCCAAAAAAATAAAAATAAAAACTGCACACATAAATGATCAAAATTGGCCAGGATAATAAAATTTACATTAGTATTATCTGATTTATCTCAAGTAATCACTATGTTCCAATAATTCTTCTGTGTTTGACTCTTAGTAACTACTACATTATATTCAAATATTCTGTTTATATCCATATGTGTGTTACTTGGAACCTGGCCACATTGAGCACCCCCAAAAAATGTTTGTTAAACTAAAGCAGTTGTTTTGAAATTTTATTTCTCTTTCTCCTTTTGCCCTGGAAATCCTGTGGGGTAAATAATTATTAATATGGTCACTAGTTATTGAATACCTCTAGTAAAATATTTGATTAGGGAACTTTTGACAATTAAAATTAGATTTGGGACTTTTGTGTACTTTTATATTTTTGTGCAACTTTTGTCTATGTTACATCTAGTGTCTGTGACCAGTAATATTTGAGACTGAATGCTACTATTCTCTTTCCTTTGAAGAACTGCAATTACCCAGATGTGTGGGGGGAAAGGTATAGAGTTATATAAATGTTTCACTTGTGTTTTTCTCTGACTTTAGTCCACCAATCGATGATTTCGATGTATTTAAAGAAGCAAAAGAACAAAACTTTTTTGAGTCACTGGAATCCATCACGGCTTTATGTATTCACCTGCAAGAGCTGATGACAACCATTGAAGACCTAGAAGAGAATCAGCTGAAAAATGAGTTTTTTAAACTGCTTCAGGTAAATATGATAATTAATTTCCTGAGTATATTTATTTGATCAGTTAAAAAAACAGACTGGTACACATTTAACAATAAAGCACGTATATACAATGTCATTTTAGTTATAATTGATCATTTTAGTAGTAGTGTTATTCAAGAGATGGAAATCCATTTAATTGCTGAAAATGGGATTTTGAAATCCTTTCTACTCCACCTGGAGGTGATTTTAGTGGCTTCATAACTTCCATAATTCTGGAGAGAATGCTTCACGGTCATTTGGTTGGCCCAGCCTGACTGGGGCTTGAATGTCGGCTTTGTTACTTATTTGTGGTTGGACCTGAGCAAGTTACGTTATTTCTCTGAGCTTTTAGTTTCCGCCTCTGTTAAGTGAGGATGGTATTGTACACCTTATAATTTGATGTGAGAAGCTAAATTCATTCATGTGAGTGTTGCGCTGTCATCACCATTGGGTGAAAACAGTCCTATGTAATATGGTCTTGTTATATTTCTTCATGTAGCTTATATAAGTTTAGTTTGAAATTCTCATTCAAAACGTCCTTACATCTATATGACTAGATTCAGAACTGTTTGAAAATGTGTTGTGCACAGTACCCTGGCCCTGACTTCCTAGGAAAAATTAGAAACATTTCCAGAAAGAGATGTTAGAAAATGTTATGAAAAGAAAGAAAGCAGGGACGGGGCCACGGGGATGTTGGGGCAGGGAGGCAGTATGAAGTCGGATGGCCAGGGACGGGCCTGCGGAGTGGGTGATGTGGGGAAGGACCGGAGCAGGGAAGGAGCAGATCGCAGCCGTGTCTGGGGGAGCGTGCCCGCTGAGCGCCTGCGTCAGAGCCTGCCAGCCTGAGCGCCCGGGAAGGGGTTCTGTGCGGAACGAGAGGTAAGAGAGGGGCTGGAAGGGCCACAGAGGGCAAAGTAAGCAAAGATAAGGACTCGGGTTTGATTCCTAAAATGAATTGGAACACTCTTAGAGGGTTTGGATCAGAGGAGTGACATTAAATGCCTTATTTCGAGGGTTACTTCTGAAAACAGACCGAAGGGGCACAGGGCAGAACCTGGGAGATCTGTTATTAAAATGACTCAGGTAAGGGATGACTGAACAAAGTCGGTAGCATGAGAGGTATTAGCTATCTCAGGATTCTGGATATACTCTGAAAGTAAAGGCTCCCGACAGGTGGTGGGATGTAACCAAGTCCTGATGAAACTTGTAGGGCAAGCAGAGTAAGCTGAGTGATTAAGAGGGAAAGGCTTATTTTTAGTTTGGAAGAAAAGGTGTCAGGGTATTATTAAGTAATAAACCTAGTTATCTTTTCCCCTCTGAACTATTCTTTATGCTTAGCTTAGAATTAAAAAAAGAAAGCAGCATATTACTCTTTACCCATAGCTAGCCCAGTCTTTCACAGTCTTTGAGTATAATATGTTCTTTGTCCCGTAAGTATAACATTGTGAGAAGGAGTACCATGCTGTTTTCTGTACGTACTTTAGCCAGCCACCCAAAATTGCTGCTCTGCTTCTCCACTAAAGGAGGCCAAAGTTGCCCTACGTCTGTGTTGATAATGACCAGCAGGTTAACTTCCTACAAGGAACTCCAAGCTGTTTTAGTTTGTGGGAATATTGATCTGTTCTTAAAACCATCGAACTCCACCTCTGTCCACACAAACATTTCAGTGTCTGCTCTGTCCAGCACTGTTCTCAATGCAGGCGTGTGATGGTGAGAAAAACAGCCCAGTCCTTGCTCTCCTAGAACCTGTAGTCTTGAGGAAATATAGACAATCAGCTAAGGGTACAGGTCAGTGTGGACTTAATTACAGACTGGAAATATGCAGGAAGCCAACAGATACTCTGACCTCAGCTGGGGAGGGCCATCATCTACACTGGGTGTTTCTTTTTTTATCCTCACCTGAGGACATTGTTTTGTTTTTTTTGTTCAGATAGAGTGGGAGGGAGAGAGAGGAAGAGACAGAGAGTGAAATATCGACGTGAAAGGGGCACATCAAGTGGTTGCCACCCACATGACCCAACGAGGGCCGGGGACAAACTGCAACCGAGGTCCGTGCCCTTAGCGGGAACCGAACCCAGGTCTCTCTGGACCTCAGGCCAATGCTCTAACCGCTGAGCCAAACCGGCCAGGGTGCACTGGGTGTTTCTTGATCAGACTTGGACTTAAAAAGAAAATTATATGTATGTGTGTGTATATATATATATATACACACACACACACACATACATGCGCACACACATATATATATACACACATACATACATTTATTTAATCCTTTAAAAATATTTAAAAATAATACTCTTGGTTGGAATGTACATTTTGCTCTTATTTTGAATCATACAAGAGTAGAGTCTATTTTGTCCTGGCGTTTGGCTCAGCGGTTAGAGCGCCGGCCCGTGGACCAATGAGACCTGGGTTCAGTTCCGGCCAAGGGCACATACCTCGGTTGCAGTTTGTCCCCGGCCCTGGTTGAGTTGTGCGGGAAGCAACCAATCAGTGTGTCTCTCTCACATCGATATTTCTGTCTGTCTGTGTCTCTCTCCCTCTCTCTGTCCCTCCTACTGTGTCTAAAGATAAATGGAAAAATATCCTCGGGTAAGGATTAAAAAAAGAGAGAAGAGTCTATTTTGGCTAATATTTATTGAGTACTTTTATATTATCTATCGGCTATTGGGTACATTACTTATACCTGTTATGTCAATTCTCACAGTAACTCTATGAGGTAAGTACTGTTATCTCATTTTTAAGTTGTATAACCTGAGCCTTAGAGATCATGTAATTTAGCAATGGTCGTTAATTGGAAATGCAGGTATTTGAACCCAAGTCTGTCTGATTCTAGAGCCTGTACTCTTAAACATGTAGTTTTAGTTATAGCTTTTATTTATTTATTTTTTATTTTTAAATTTTTTTTCATCCTCACCTGAGGACATTTTTCTATTTTTTGTTCAGATAGAGCGGGGGGGAGAGAGAGGAAGAGAGAGAGAGAGAAACATCGATGTGAAGGGACACATGGAGTGGCTGCCACCCGCACGACCAACCAGGGCCAGGGATAAACTGCAACCGAGGTACGTGCCCTTAGCGGGAACCGAACCCGGGTCTCTCTGTACCGCAGGCCGACGCTCCAACCGCTGAGCCAAACCGGCCAGGGCTAGTTATAGCTTTTAAAAAGAAAGGGTTATATGCCAATTCCTACAAAGTAAGCTTGAGTATTGTTTTCAATTTAAAGTAGAATAATAGATGATTAGAATTGGAAAGGTGTTTAGACATCGCCTTGTCCAATTTCTTTATTTTACAAGCAAGAGAACTAAATCCCAGATTTAGTTGGATTTACTAAAAGAAATTAAGCAGTTTTTTGGCAGGGAGAGGCTGGGAGGAAAATACTTTTATTTTTCTCTTCACACTGAATTACAAAGTTAACTGAGTTTTTTACAGCATCTGGTCATGGTCTTAATATCTGCAGAAGCAAAAATATTCATTCTGATTAAATGATAGGGGTCATTAAAATCAAACCAGTTTTTTTTTTTTATCCTCACCCGAGGACTTTTTTTCCATTTTTGTTCAGCTAGAGTGGGAGGGAGAGAGAGAAACATCAACATGAAAGGGACACATCGAGTGGCTGCCTTCTGCACGACCCCAACCAGGGCCGGGGACGAATCACAACCGAGATAATTGCCCTTGACCAGAATTGAACCCGCAACTCGTTGGTCTGCGGGCCAAAGCTCTAACCACTTAGCAACCCGGCCAGGGCTCAAACCAATTTTTTAAAGTTCATTACATATTGTTCAATTAAAAGTTTCATTGTTTTGCATAAAAAATATTTTTTTTTCATTGAAAATGGAGAGAGAGGAAGGAAGAGGGAGACAGAAACATCAATGTGAGAGAGAAACATTGATCAGCTGCCTCCTACGTGCCCCCAACCCAGGATGGAGCCCACAGCCTGGCATGTGCCCTGACCTAGAATCGAACCAGCGGCCTTTCGGTGCATGGGATGAGGTCCAACCAACTGAGCCACACTGGGGCCAGGGCTGTTTTGACTCTATACAACATCATGTAAACATAGTCTTTGCATTTTAGACTAAATGGATTTAATGGATATTTTATGTTAAGAATTTGGTAGAAATGATTTTTGTGAATACTTTTAGCAATCCCCAACATCATACATACTAGTTTTTGTTGGTTATTTAAAAGAAGGATAAATGTTTTGTACTTTTTTTTTTTCAGATTTCACTGTGGGGAAATAAGTGTGATCTGTCTCTATCAGGTGGAGAAACCAGTTCTCAGAAGACCAATATAATAAATACTTTGGAGGACTTAAAGCCTTTCATTTTAGTGAATGATATGGAACATCTTTGGTCATTGCTTAGCAATTGCAAGAAAACAAGAGAAAAAGTATCAGTTACTAGAGTGGATATTGTTCTGGATAATTCTGGGTTTGAACTTGTTACAGATTTGGTATTAGCTGACTTCTTGTTGTTTTCTAACCTAGCTACTGAAATCCATTTTTATGGAAAAATGATTCCATGGTTTGTTTCTGATACTACTATACATGATTTTAACTGGGTAATTGAACAAGTAAAACATTGTGATCATAAATGGGTATCCAAGTGTGGTGTTGACTGGGAAAACTATGTTAAAATGGGCAAGTGGGTTTATCACGATCATATATTTTGGACGGGGCCTCATGAATTCTGTGCAATGTTTCATGTTGCTCCTGACTTATATGCTGAACTACAGAAGGCACATTTAATTTTATTCAAGGGTGATTTGAATTATAGGAAGTTGACAGGTGATAGAAAATGGGAGTTTACTGTTCCTTTCCATCGGGCTTTGAACGGCTTTCATCCTGCCCCTCTCTGCAGCATACGAACATTAAAAGCTGAGATTCAGGTTGGGCTGCGGCCTGGGCAAGGGGAACAGCTCACAGCTTCTGAGCCCAACTGGCTGACCACAGGGAAGTATGGAATATTTCAGTTTGATGGTCCACTTTGACTTGGTTTAAGAACTGTGAGTTGTGTAGAAAGATCTGACCGGCACATTTCATCCTCAGAAAAGCAGTGTGTGAATTTAGTCACTTGGCTGAATCGCATTTGCTCTGAGAAGCTTGCCTTCTCAAGGTGCTCAGTTACATACTCTGGATCCTTTTTCCTTTGAACATTTTGCCCCATACATTGTTTTGAGGATAGGTAGATTAAGCTAGTTATAGATATTTACATTTATGTTGGAATCTCAGTAATTTATTTCAAGTTAAATGCATAATTTCAAGTGGTTTTCATGAGCTTATTTTTAATTGGGCAGAAAGCAAAATCTAAGTTAACTTTTTTTTTTTTTTAATACTGTGCTGCATGATATTTAATATCCTAGGAAGCATGGGACTTTATTTAACTTGATTTGCGGCTCTAGAAACAAGGGCTCTGAAAACACCCATCTTAAATGCTGTTTGTAGAGAGAGGCCTTTCTCACAGCTGTGGTATTTGAACACCTGAAAGTAAAACTTACCTCAGAAGTTGATTATAATTTTGTTCTTAAGTTTCCTTTCAATAGCCTGTCTTATTTGCCTGCATTTGTATTTTGATTGACCTTTGGAAAGGATGGTAAGGAACACAAAATTGAACAGAATGAAATAAATGGTATTTGAAGAAAAATGTAATACCTTTTACATTCTCTTTGAAGAAAAATGTAATGTCTTTTACATAGCAACTGAAATGTATTATTTTAATACATGTTTTAAATGAACAGATTGTTAGATTGGTTTGCAGTTTTAAAAAATGCTTTGGATAGAAAAGATTCTTGAGCATTGAATCTGAAGTACTACCAGCAAGTTGATTTATTTTTTATATTCTTATACATTTATTGGTGATCACCAGATGTTAAAAACAGTAAGTTTCAGGTCAGTTTGTTTTGAAACTGAAATTGGAAATGAACATGGAAGTGTTTTCTTGCACTAGAATAATAAAATGCATTATACTGAGAGTCACATTGGTTTTATTTCCAGTGGGGGAAAGTCAAGAAGGGAAGATTTAAAAGGTGTATATAATGAAGAAACTCATAATGTGTATTATAGTTGATGCCAAAGCAATTCTTAAGTTATATCACTTAAATGAAATTGCAGTGTATGTTTTAAGTGTTTAAGATTTTTTTGTAAAATGTTTATCTAAAGCTGCACATTTTGAATTGACTCTTTTCTTATCTATATGTATTCCTGTTGTAAACATTAAATTAGTTAAAAACCAAGCATATTAGAATTATTTGTAGACACTTGACATAAGTTAGAACACAATTGTATATTTGTGTTGACTTCATAGCAACAGTGTCAGCTATTGTATAATATATTGCATTTTCCAAAGCACTGGATTTTTTTCTATTTTTACTATGAAATTAAGATGTCTGAGGAAATAGTTAACCTCCTACAAGAGAGCAAAGAAGCAAGCTAGAGGAAGCGAGAAAGGTGCACTGTGGGTGAGGAGGTCAGGTGGCGCTTAAACAATGCTTAGCAGGAGGGAGGTTCCTTCAGTTGATTTAAATTTCCAGTTGATTTAAACATTTTTTTTTCTTTTTTTTTAGAGAGAGGGGAAAGGAGAGAAAGAGAGAGAGAAACATTGATGAGAGAGAACATGGATTGGCTGCCTCCTACATGCCCCCCACTTGGAATCGGGCCCACAACCTGGGCATGTGCCCTGACTGGGAATCAAACTGGTGACTGCTTGGTGCATGGGTCGACGGCTCAACCACTGAGCCACACTTACCGGGCTCACCAGTTAATTTTTTTTTTAAACCAGCTGTTTTGGAGAGAGAATTCGCATAGAGTCCATTCATTTAAAGTCTAGAGCATTTTAGTATATTCACAGGGTTGTGCATCCATTTCCCAAATCTAATTTCAGAACAATTCCACCACCCATGAAAGAAGCGGTACTCATTAACAGGCGTTCCCTTCCCGCTCAGCACTTGGCAACCATGAGCTGCTTTCTGTCTCTGGACTTACCTGTGTGGACATTTTATATGTGAATCGGGAACTATTTGGTGAGTGGCTTCTGTCAAGGTTCATCAGATGAAATGTGTATCACTGCTTCATTCCTTTTTGCTGAATTATATTCCATCGTATGGATTCACCACGTGTGGATATACCAAATTTATCCATCAGCGTGTGGACGTAGGGGCTATTTTCCATTTTTTGGCAAATAATGCTGTTGTGAACATTCATGTACAAGTTTTTTGGTTTTTTTTTTTAGTACATTTTTCAGTTCTTTTGGGAAAAAGTACTAGATTATATGGCAGGTGTGTTGAATGTTTTGAGGAATTGTCCAACTTTTCAAAAGGTTTACAATGTTTTCCATTCCCACCAGCAATAGACGAGGGCTCCGATTTCTCCACATTCTTGTCAGCACTTGTTATTGTTCGTGTTTTTTGTTTTAGCCATGCTGCAGGGTATGAAGTGGTATCTCCTTGTGGTTTTGATTTGTATATCCCTAATGAATAATGATGTACATATTTTCATGTGCGTATTGACCATTTGTATGTCTTTTGGAGAAATGCTTTTAATTCCTTTGCCCATTTAAAATTAGATTTTCTTTTTATTGTTGAGTTGTAAGACTTTATATATTCTGCATGTAAGTCTCATCAGATAGAATTTGCAAATATTTTCTCTCATTCTGTAGTTTGTCTTTTCGCTTTCTTGATAGTATCACCTACAGCAAAAAGTTTAGATTTTGATGAAGTTTTATCTGTTTTTGCTTTTGATGCAAAACATTGGTTTTTGAACTGCCTCTTAACATCCCCAAGAGCCACTGAAGCCCAGCCGGGTGGCTCAGTGGTTGAGCGTAGACCCATGCACCGAGAGGTTACCGGTTTGATTCCCGGTCAGGGCACATGCCCAGGTTGTGAGCAGAATCTCCGGTGGAGCGCATGCAGGAGGCAGCCAATCGATGTTTCTGTCTCTCTAAAATCAATAAAGAAAAAATTTTTTTAAAAAAGGCCCCCAAGTCCGGCTGGTGTGGTTCAGTGGTTGAGCATCGACCCATGCACCAAGAGGTCGCCGGTTCGATTCCTGGTTAGGACAAGTGCCCAGGTTGTGGGCCCGATCCCCAGTGGGGGGCATGCAGGAGGCGGCCAATCGATGTTCTCTCTCATTGATGTTTTGTCTCTCCCTCTCCCTTCCTCTCCAAAATCAATAAAGGAGGGAAAAAAGCCACTGAAGCGAGGGGCCGAGGCACCCAATGGAAAGGGCTTTGCCTACAGTCCTCTCCTGCTCTTGAACTTATTTCCATTCCAACAAATGTGGCCTGTGAATGTTTGGTATAGATACAGAGTAGCATGGTGGAGAAAACGGAGGCTCTGGAGTTAGCAGAGGGCAGGTTTTCCACTGAAGAGCTGAGTGATCTTGGGATCTTTCCCAAAATAGTATCTGCAATTGTTTCAACTGCTGATACCATACTTGGTTAGGTATGAAGTAACTCCTGGGGAAAGCAGCTCAGAAAGTTCATGCAATAAATTTTTATCAAGATAGTCAATATCTGAGGTATGTTATGATGGAACTGTGGATGAAGGGCAGGTAAGTAAATGGAGGGTGGTGGTTTATGCTTTTTGATAGAACAGCAGATGGACAAAATTTATAGGGATTATTCAGCTTAAAAAAAATTGAGGCAGTATTTTGTGTTTGATAAAATGCAGTCATGCTTTTGAACCTGTGTTACTCAACCTCAAGGTCATATTTCCAGAAAAATAATACCCTTCACAAAAGGCAGTTTCATCGTAGTTTGAACCCTTTGCTTAACATTTTCTGAAGATCCTAGAGTGGATTGAAAACAGTTCAGAGTTAAATTGATTAAAATTTCCTCTCCCACCCATTTTCCTCACAGCCCTCTGCCCCAAACCCTCTTCCCTCCCTCCCTCTGCTGGATTGGGGATGAGGATCAGGGAGACAACTTTCTACACACGCTTGTCTTATTACCGGAAGTGCTGTTGTGTCTGACACTTAGAGTAAGCAGTAAAGCGACATCTTGAAATTGTGGAAAATGAATCAAGCAGAGGGAAAAAAATAGGGAAAGCAAGAACATAATACTACCACCTCTAAATGCACCTGTTAAGAGTTTGATGTATGTATTTTTAGGTTTTCTCCATGTATAGACATATGTTTTACATTTTTCAGATGAAAAAGCATTTGGGGGGGGGTAATTCTCACTCGAGGATATTTTTCCCATTGAGTTTTAGAGAGAGTGGAATGGAAGGAGGAGGGAGAGAGAGAAACATGGAGATGAGAGAGACACATGAATTGCCTCCCTCCTGCTTGACCCCAACCGGGGCGGGGAGCGAACCTGCAACCCAGGTACCTGCCCTTGACTGGGAATTGAACCTGAGGAGACCCTTTGGTCTGCAGGCCAATGCTCCAACCTCTGAGCCAAACTGGCCAGGGCTGTAATTTTTTTTTTTTCCTAGTTTGTGCTGGAGGGATAGAAGTTTGTTTTTTTGTTTTTTTTTTTCTTGGATAGCAGTGTGACCTGGGACTCAGTAATAGTCTGGGACTCATAAATCCCTGGTTTCCTGTTAACTCTGTGACCTAAGTCATATTCTCACAATTTTACTGGAAAAGGAGAAGTTATTTCTGGTCAATTTGAACTTGGTATGTTCAAGCTCAAATCCGAATTTCCCTAGGGAAACTGGAGTCATGCTGAAAGATCTCAGCATTCTGGCACCCTCTAGTGGCCGCCTGAGTACTCCGCCAGCCCCCATCTTGCCCTTTGGAAACGTGAAGGCAGGAGTTACTGTTGAGAGTGGAGCATCAGTTAGTGCAGACCGAACCCTCCCGTTAGAGACTGCCACTCACTTTGTTCTCCGCCTTCCTGCTTCTCTGGTGGGTCCCATTTCCCCTTCAGTGTATTTCATGTTCACCTCATTTTCAGATCAGTTAGAAAGAAGGGAAAGTCAGTTCTTATGGAAGACACTTCTAAAGTATTGATTCCCATTACCCATACGTTTTGGGGGCAGCCGCTGACTGTCGTGGTGTATTTGCCCCACACAGCATACTGAGCACAGGGGAGGTGCTCAATGAATGACTGGTAGGCGAGGGATTCCAGCATTTGACCTAACTTAAACCTCAGGGGATGCTGTTGAAGTCGAAGCCTGAAGGATGAAATGGGTCTGCTAGAAAGCCTGACCAATTAATTAGGTCAGTTAGTACTACTGGTTGAATGAATGAAAGATATATATATATTATACAAGTGGGAGTTTTCCATAAATGTGTACATCTTTGGATCCTGTTTTATTCCTTCAATGTGATCAATTTCTATTTGTAAAAAATTCTTCCAAAATGTAATATTTTAAAATGGGTAGAAACATTTCACCAAATAGCTAGATCCTATTTTCTTGTGCTATGCGGTGTTCACAATTTTTGCTATTATAAAAGAAGCTAAAATGAATATTTTCAGGCAACTTAGTACCCATAAGCTTTGCAGGTCTTCAGTGACTGAATCATTTGAAGCCACCCATTTCTTCCAGTCCTGCTAGAAAGTGTTTCATTAGACTTAAGCCCCAAACTCTCAATATTGAGTGATTGCTTTACATAAGAAGGGAAGTTGCTTTTCTCCTGAAAAAAATTCATACCATATACCATGTTGATGACTTTCAATTCTGCTTGAGTTCAGTACAAAGTTGAGGCACAAGGGGGAGACCCTTTAGCATAATAAAGTGACTAGATTTTGCTTCTGTACTATTTAGTACAGAGATTTCAGCAAGAAAAACGGGCAGAGTATAATTTTCATTGTTGACTACACACATTCTTGTGGTTTCAACTTTAAAATCATTACACTGGAGCTGGGGTTCCGGCATCTACCATGGTCAACACAGGTCAAAGACAATACAACTGTGTTCTCATTCTTCTTTTGGCTAAAATTTTACATATACGTATAATACAGCAAAATATTACAGTGGTTTATCATAGAAGTATATCAAATATGTGAATTTGGAAGCAAAAGTTAAAATCCAGGCAAAGTGGAGAAAAATAGCATTTTAACAATGTAGAAAAGCACACAAGAAGAAACTT